TGGATCAACCATTGTTTTATCTTTGATAAATCATTTTTTCAGCTGTGTTCTCGGCCTAAAGAAGGTGTATGTGTATATTTCTGCATTATACAGATAAACGTTACATAACTTATAATTACAAATTTACAATACACATACTTCTAAATTATGATTCGTTTATAGTAGTAATCAGTAATCAAACTACCTGTACATTATGTTTATGGCAGTCATTGACTTCTAATCATCCAGTTATTCGGACTACATTTGATTTATACTATATCTTACTTAATATCTGATAATGCCATTATCAAATAATTGAACATGTTCTATGAAGGTTTACCATTGTTACATGATCGGATTTTAACGTCAGTTTCGGTATTGCAGTATTTAACAAACGAACATGTTTTCTTTTAAATGGATACAAGTGTGAAGCTGTTTGAACAGAATATATATCAAATAATTATACATAATATATATTTTTCTATGTAAGTGACGCATTATTTTCAAAATTAAGAAGGAACCTATATGTTTTTAAAGCACCGTGTTCAAAAATAGCGTCTTGCTTGTAAACAATGTTGTGATATGTGCAGTTTGAATGAATCATAAATCATTAATTTTGAAAAATTAAAATCTATTTTACTGATTATTTTTATAGTTTTGACGTTAATTTGAAATAATATTGACTACAGAAAAAAGTGTTACTAACTTATCTAGTTTAACTTTTTAAAGAATGATTGGGAAGCGTTTTAATCATATTGACTTCTGAATTATGTGTTAATATTTTAGTGTAACAATTTAGAATTATTCAAAAGTGTTTAAAATGGAAGAAAACAATAACAGCTCGGATAATAATGATTATTATGAATATGATTTCATTCGAATGACAACAACGTTTCGAGTGATATCAGCATTTTTAATTTCAATTTTAATCTTATTTGCTATTATCGGCAACGCAACAACAATAATCGCTTACATCACTGACAAAAAACTTCATACTGTTTATGACTTCTTTATTTTTAATTTAGCTACTACAGACCTTTTAATAGGATGCATAAGTATGCCATTTTATGCAGTCTATACGCTTCAAGAATTTGTCTGGGAATTTGGTGATACGTTTTGTAAAGTATGGAATGTTATAGATTTTACATTATGTCTTGAATCAATCTTGCTAATACTACTGTTAAGTTTCGACAGACTTTGCCTTGTTAAATATGGACCCTTCTATTCTTCAAAAATGACACAACAGAAAGCCAAACTCTTGGTTATTCTGTCCTGGATAATTTCATTTCTGTTATACGGGCCAGCAATTATTGGCTGGAATTATTGGGTGGGTTATACGACAGTGGAACCTTTGGACTGTGACGTTGAATTTGCATATAATTTTGTGTTTACAACAACATCTGCAATTATTGAGTTTGTTATACCAGTTGTGGGATTAGCAATCATGAATGTTATGATATATCAGCACATTAAAAGCAGAATTGGCAGTCCAAACAGTGGCAATCCGAAACCTATTATAAGATCTTCATCAATAACAAAGGAAATAACAGAGATCCAAGAAATAATGCATATAAAAGCTGACAATATAAGCGTTCGAGAGGATGATGGTGGAATGTTGGACGTAGGAAAATTTGGAATGCCGAATGTACCAAAGATTCTGTATTCTTCAGGACGCTTATCGAATATGCCAAAGATATTGCTGAATAGTACAGAACATATTACTGAAGAAGATCATGATGAAAAGGGAATTAGACCTGATTCAGGAAAAATAGAAAATGTAACAAAAGTCATTAATGAGAATTGCATGTCGACTTCTCATAATAATTTACATAACAGAATATCATTTTCCGTGATTCCTAAACGTTCAGCTCGATTCAGTTTCTTCGGAACCTTAGAGAACAGTTTCAGAAGAAAGTCTAAAAATAAGAACGAACATTCGCGATTTAAGCGGGATGCAAAAGCAGCACGATTTTTGGCGATCCTGGTCCTAGTTTTCCTTGCATGTTGGGCTCCATACACTATAACAACGATAGTAATTTCATTCTGTGGCAATGAATGTGTTAACACAAGCTTCTATGAAAGTATGAATTGGTTGCTATGGTCAAAGTCGGCAATCAATCCGTTTTTGTATGCAATAAACAGTTCTAGATATAGATTCCACTTCAAGAAGTACATTTTCTGTTGCAAGAACCAAGTCTACCCGAATAACACTGAAACGACATGTCAGACAGCTGGCTAGATGTGGAACTTTAAGTATAATGCAGTTACTACTAGACTGGGGATGTCGCAAAGTACATTCAAACTACCTTATATTTTGCAAACAAATAGATTTCATGAAATTTATTTAATTTAATATGAATAGTTGAATAAAAACTCATGGCTAAGATGGATATGCTCTAATCTAATTCATTGAATAAATATTTAACTTACAGAATTCTTTTGTTATGCATCATTACCTACAAAATTTATAGAACTAATGTAACCCAGCTCTGGTTGCCACTTGTTTAATTTAGATTATTATAGGAAAATAAATGTAAGTTCTCCTTATGAAATTAAAATTCAAAGAGCTAAGATATTTGGCTTGCGAAATTGCTGTTAAAATGCAAATTTGTGAATGAATAGGTTAATTCTTTTCAAACAATACAGCATTAAATATAGCACCTTCAGGGGGGCTTTAAATTACACAACTGCAGACAAGTACAGTGCACTAATTAAATATGATGCAATGACATGTCGTTTAATTTTCGTTATAATAGCCAAAGTTAAGCCGTCACATTAAGTGGTTTCAGCGCTTTGATCTACATTGTTATGTTAACGGTCATATCATTTTTTTGACAATCCAAAATTCAATGACAGTTTTTCATAGAACTTAAAACGTTTCTATATGCAAATTGGCCGGTTAATTTGCTTTAAATATCTGAAATTTGGAGATTGGTACGTGTACTTGCGATACCATAGCAGCCCTTTAAAATTTCGGAATTCAGTCTCGGTTTCAGACAAATTCTACAAGATTATCACACCGTCTGATAAACTTAAAAATTCCGGGTACCCTCCACTAAATGTCCAGGGTATCTTAAAGTAACAGCAAATATATCTATAAAAATATTACTTAAATCGAGTACGAGTAATATTCCCGTTAACGATTTTAAAAGTCACGTGGGTTCACTACCTAAAATAAGGTGTTAAAATTTAATTGCGATACCGTTTTTTTCGTTAGCCATTGAAGTAATAATGTATATAGGACTTTCAAAAACTGTTTCTATTCAGAGCGGGCGCTATGGTGCAGCGGTAACAGTGTCTGTCTACCAATCAAGGGGTGGTGAGTTCGATCCCCCGCTACTGCACTGACTGAAATGACTACGAGACTGACAAAACTGAAACAAATAGGACTAAACGGTTAAAACATACAGATACAGACTAAACGGACAGAAAACAATTCAAAAGACCTAATGAAAAAATGAAAAGATGCATAACGCAAAAGACATACAAAAAGTGACGTCACTCGGCAGATAACAACAAATATTAAAAGGAGTATTCTACAATACACTGAATGAATGAGACGGAAACGGAACAGACAAAAGGGACCTTATGGAACAAGACACACGGACATCAACGATACAGACCCGAGAAGCCTGAAACGGATCAGGAAACGAGGACCGCTAATAAAATAACTAAGGGAATATGCAACAACGGAATACAGGTATGTTAACATGACTTAATGCAACAACTAGAACAGAAAACAAAACGGTACATAAATAACATACTAAAAGGGAAGTCACGGGTATTCAAGTTAGCAGACAACAAGAAACTTAGACACAGAAAATACCAAGACACAAAACGAAAAAAGAAAGAACCTCAATGGAAGACGACAACAAACAGGAAAGTAGAGGGACAACGGGGATTGAAAACATAAAAAAAGCTAATTCAGTAACAATAACGGAACGGACAACAAGGCTAATAAAAAGATATGTTAACAAATATAGACAGCAAAATAATAGACAACAAAGTACTTCACGGCCAAAAAGAACAACACAGTTAACATTAAACAAAGCAAAGACACGTGCAAAAACGGCAAACCACACACCAATAAAAACGGACTTAACAAAATGTTCAAATAACTAGAAACTTAAATTACATGTAGTTTAACGTTAAGTTACCGTACGCCCGCCGTCATATATAGACTATATATAATAAATATATAATAATATACGTTGCATAATGAATATAACAGCTATTACATAACGTAACGCATAATCAAAATAATTTAACGTTGTGTATTTTGCCTTTTATAACAGCGAGAAACACAAATACATTTAATTACTTTATCCTATATATCTAATACGTTCCTGGATCCTGGACAAATGTTAACATAAAATGAAATAATATATTCTTCTATTTTCTGCTATTTGTCAACATATACATGTAATGTATCCACCTGTTGCTAAACATTTCCTAAACTTTTAGTTAACAACATTTTTAAGCATTGGATTTTAATCGTCACACAGAACATATTAGATAAGCAAAATATACAAACAGTTTGCATATGTCATAAAAACATTAAAAAAAATTGTCACTATTATAAAGCATGATTGTATTGAAAATTTACTTCTACACAAAAGAATGTCATTTTTGCACAAGACGTACATTATGAAACCAGAAAAACTGTTTCCCGGCGTGCTTTGGTAAAGAATAGTGCAGGTAACATGTTGGTACTGATTTCATGGCGTACTCAAAATATAATAGAACAGGGAACCAAAATTACCTCCGATGAAGAAGAGGCAATCTTATTACCCATAATTTTGCTGTACTTCCGCAACAAACTTCAAATCCGTCACTTCAAGAAACTCGCGTTACCATAATGCTCGATTATACTTAAGGCATGCTCTTCCAGCTCGCTATAAATTATATTGCAAAAAGAAATTACCACATCGTTCTTTATTTCAGGCTGTTTTTATAAAGTTGCATTAAACAGCCTCCGGAATAAGTTTATATATATAATATTATATTATATATAATATACAGTCTTAGATTTCATTATTAGTAACACATAAATTCAAAACTACAATGTTCAAAATAGTTTACAAATTCTCGCCTTCCAATATAATAAATACTATTCAGTTCTTTCTCTAGCGGATATTCATTTTGCTCATGATATAAGCGTCGCACAATGATCCCTAGTACTGATTGGTCAAATCGATGACATCTCCCGTCGCTTAGATCAAGGAAATCACATTTCAGTTTATCCTCCCCAACCGGTGCAATACATGCTTCATTCAAAGCGCATGACGCCCACGCATTCACAACAACTTTGGTTACATGGTCATAATAAAACAAAACCGTTGTTGCCCAAACTTCTCCAAATGGTCTATATTTACATACATCTTCTGCTAAATAATTAAACGTTCGAACGTCAGTTTGTTTCGCTATACTGACTTTTTTTGGATTATTTCTTTCCACAAAGAACAACATACTATTTTTCCTAGCATAGTTTATTGCACTGTCTAAATTAATCCTCAGCAATTTCACTGAAATATCAATCCACCAAACAAAACCAAACTCCAGAAGGGTCATCTAAAAAGATTGCAAAAAAATATGTCAGTGAATATATAGCTGAAGTATTCATATATAAGCATGCAAAGTATCTTGTTTAAAATCGGACACTTCAAGAGTTTATTTTTACATTTAACAGAAGCAATATTCTCATAAACAGGTTTTCTTTTGAGCGTTCACTTTCATTTGAAATGAATAGCGCTTTATTTCAAATTAAACATTTAAGCATTTTATTTCTAGAACCTTTTTTATATTTTAATGTTTTAAGCGCTTTTATTTTCAACGTAAACTTTTGCACAGGATGATATATTTTATCGCTTTATACATATATATGTTATTTTTCGCACAACTTCAAGATTAAATGGCCTCATTGCCATACAACTAAAACATTGTAGCGGCAAAAGAAGCATTTTTATGCAACCAAAGGACGCCATCTTGAATTCCCTTGTATTTACATGTACTTTTACACTGCTTGCTGTCAAATCAAAGCAGTAGAATATTGGCAACACCGCCATGTTCTTACAGGCATAGTTTAAAATTTTGATAAATACAACTTTATAGTTTAAATGACGTGGATTAAGTTTTTTACTGGTTTTCTGCGGGTAGATTTCTTACCTGAATTATTATAGGTTTAAATGCATATGTTTTCAGTTTGCGAACATGTGGAGGAAAGTCTTCAAATGGAAACCGTCTTATTTCACAATGACACTTTTTACGTAGCTGAAAACAAAATAATGTAATGCATATAGAAGAACAAAAAATTTCGAATAAACATGTTCAACCAAAAGAGAACATTTGTTCAGGTTTTTCTTCATTGTACGTTTAAAGCTACATGTCTCCAGATGAGTCAAAATATTTTAAGGAAATCAGTGTGAGTAACTATAGAAAGGATTTGATGATCAATCACAAAGACAATGACCTGCGACGCCTGGAAATCGAACCCGGGTCGCCCGATTCACAGTTCAGCGTTCTACATTGAGCTTTTGAGCTTACCTGATAGTTTAAGGGCTATTTTGGTATTATTTGTCTTCTTTGATAGTAATTTGCTTGATTAAAAGTGTCGTTTGTAACGTGTAAATTTCTTTGTTGACTTCACAACGTTTTACTTTTAAATAATTTTCAGAATTTTCATGAAAATTAACATGAATCTGAAGGAATGCTGTCTAAATGAATTTTAGTATATAAAGTTGTAATATGTAATAGCATAAAAAGGAACTTTTTGACGTGTGAATGTTCTAGACAATTTGCTACGAACAAACTTAGTTAATACAACAGGCATCAATTGAAATATAAAATGTCTCAAAAAAGTAACACATTTCTATCGCTATGCTAAGTAATGTAATTGCGAATTCCATGTTTTGGAATATTTGTTTTATTTTTACCAAGGGTGCCGTTTATATTTCGATAAATGAATACAAGTTACTACTTTACCTTTATAACTATTTACGGATCAAAGGTAAATACGTATAATACAAATAGGTGTTGCTCTCAAGTAGATAAAATTTTTGCAAAATGATACTTTGAAAAATAATAAGTTCGAGAGGACCGGGTCCGCGAAGAGGGTCCGAGCTTTGGCTTGCCTGGCTATGGACTACACGTGTATATTAAAAAGGATAAAAAAATTAAAAAGTATATAGATTTCTTTACCTATCAGTGAAATTTGCAGAGTCATATCTAGTTTGGCACCGCCATTTCAATGTAACTCAATGATAATAGGTGGGGTATTCCGAAAACGGAACAGTTGCAACTTTTCGGCTTAATAATAACCGTCGAGGTGGTCCGAGTGAAAGCGGAAGTGGTGCATAAAATATAGAATGACACATTTAAAACGGGAAATGACAAATAAAAAAGTGAAAAATTATTTTAACCGACTTCCACGTTCATAGGCTTCGCCTTATTTCATATTACTTTTGTTTTTAAAAGATATTCGCTGAACAGCTCTCTCTACTAGCGTAAGTGTCGCTTTACACAAGTTAAACCGTAGATCACTTACCACTCTTAATTGACGTTGTGATAATCCTAAATCATACACAATAAGACGACTTTTTCCCTTATTCTTCTCAGCATTTAATATGGAGTGTAAGGAAAAAAACATCCCCTGACTAAACGGGTAGTAGCGGAAATCCATCGCTGTAATAAACACCGGAAATGACGCCATTTTGACTGGTTGAGTTATATTCCCGCCAATTTTTGAAAGATAACGGTCAGCATCACCTTTCGGGTAATTTTTGACAACTTGCAAATTTTCATCAAAGCTTGGTGCAAAGGTTTTGTCACAGGTCTTTGAAAGCCCTTCAATAAATAAAGTTAAGCACATTTGAAGATAGCCCTCCGTGGCAAAATAACGACAAAGAAGCAAGCACTTAAAAACAATGAATGAACACAATTGACTTGTAGACCTTAATTTGACAAAAAAATCAATTTCGTAGATCCGTAAGTATGATCTAGCAGAAAAGCATACAACGAAAAAGCCTTTTTCAAATACTGTTATACATGAAAAATAAGACAATAAAATGGAGGATCGAAATGCATTTGTGCGATATAGTATTTCTTTTGTCACTTAAAACTAAGCATGTCGTGCAATTTTATTAAAAAAATCTAGAAACAAAGTGATCCGTCGGAAGCATTAATCACAAAAAATCACAAGAAAATTGCAGACACACTTCGCAGTTTTCTACAAACTGTTTCCTTAACATATTTGCAAGGTCTATTTTTAAATGCAGAATACTTCTCTTAAATTTTTAAACATAAAATACAAAAACAACAACAACAACAAAAACAAAAGCAACAACACTAATAATTAAAATTATATAATAAAAACAGAAAAATGTAATTATATTTACACTTTGACTGGTCATTTAAATCATATTTTCCAACCGGATGCGCTTTCATATTAACAGAATGGCGTTCTGAAATAGAAGAATTACAAAATACTCTTTTCAAATTAAAATAAAATTTCAATATATCAATACTTACAAAATATCAATATCTAAAGTTATAACAAACATTCATAATTGCACTATTTAAATGGGAAGCTATAAAAATGCGTTCTTTATAACAAACTCGAATACTTCACAAATAACATCCTAATACGCTACCATAGAATTTGTTTCCGAGAAAAAGTCCAAATACTGCCAAAAACAGAACGAACACTACAGTGAATTGTAATGAGTCACCTGCAAAAAAAACCAACAGGAAATAAATAAAAGACGGGTGATAAAGTTTGCTTACATTAGGCCCTTTCATGTGCTTCTTTTTTCACAGAAAATCATTTTATCTATACATGTATGTAAAGCTCCATAGCTAAACATAAATGTTAAACCTTCAAACACAATCGCCAATCGCAGTATAAAATAGCATTTCATACGCAAATAACGAACTTACTAACATATCTATACATATACATCTTTGAGTTTATTCAGAGGTGACTACAGATTTTAGATTTTTTTTAATGAAATGACTTACAAATATAATGCATACATCTAAGCACAAAAGAAAGACATCTATATAACACAGACCTAGTCCTACCCCCCCCCCCCCTTGCCATCATCTCAAAGCTGACTTGTTCTTTCCTAAGCATATACACGTAAATTTAAAATTCGATCAGTGTCTTACCTTTTAGCTGCATGGAAGCATTTATTCCAAACACTTGCACAATAAATTTTTGTTTCTCAACATAAATGTGTGACCGTTTTTTGTTTGATACAAGTCATAATTTGGACCTCACTTCTACAAAGTACATGTATCCGTAGTATCATAGTAATCCCGTGCTATATACATATATATTGCACGTATAACATACATAATTATTTAAGATTTGAAAATATAAACATTATACTAATTATATTAAAGTTAAAAAATACCTCGCATTTTCTTTGGACAATGTTTTATTTTATTCCATTTCATATTTTTATATTAACATCTAACCTAAGAAAATTTCTGAAATCCTATTAGCAATTTATGTTGTGTTAAACTTTTATTAGGAATTGACATTTAAATTCGTTTAATAAGACATTTACGGCAATACCGTTTAAAATGACCGGAAGGTCATCAAAGTACGACTGACTGTATGGTAGTAAACAGTAAAAATGCATGACTTATAAATAGCCCTGCTTGAAAAATAATGAGTCTAATAAAATTAAATTGTGAACGTCTTGAGCGACATGTTTAAACATTTTCGGCTCTTAAAGAAGCATATTTATGATCGTAAAAATTAATAGAGTCATTAACCTTCTGCGTACAGCTAGAGTTAAATTCTCTTTATTCGTTACTAAATATAGAAAGAAAACAAAAACCGGTCACATGACAGGTTTTAAAGCAGCACGCCTCCAGATTCATGCCCATTTTCATGGAAAATTTGAAAATGTATTTAAAAGTAAAATATTGTGAAGTGAACAAAGACAGTAATGTACACATTGCAAACGGCACTTACACTCCACATTGATTACACAAAAGGTCAAAATATACATAAATACCTCTAACTGCGCTAGTAACACAGTACAATTATAGTGATTGATAATTGCAAAATCAGTCATTAATCGCAGATAACATGTAAATAATTAATTAAGTTTTTTATTTTTCTTATTAAAGATCTTAATACATTTTTTTCTAAAGATTGAATTTCTTGAAATATTTTGGCTCATCTGAAGGCATGTAGCTTTAATCCAATGAGCTTGGTGGTCATGATCAATGAAAAGGGCTGTCCTGCTTCCTTTTCAGCTACCGTAAGCTACATTTATAGAGGTATGTTACAGTATTGTAACATCAAATTCGAATCTAACTATTTGGCAAATTAGAAACTATAAATAAATAAGTGCACCAAGCCTATCTTTAAGCTATTTTAAAACGAGACAAAACAACGAAAAATATTCACAACGGTGCCGTCTTCCGTTATTTTATACAAGAAAACAAAGCCTTATGAACATGTGCTATTTTACATTGCACGTATGTTTGTTCCCGTAATAAGGACATTTGTGTTACGAGGAAGTGCGTATATCTTTTTCAATAGAAATATATAACAAAAAATATAAATAAATAAAAAAATATAAACCATAAAAACAACAACAGCAAGAAACAACAACGTTGTAACAAAAATAAATGATAGATTTAAGTGACGACTAATTAAACAGTCTTCTTAAAATTGTTTCGATTGTTTAAAATTTTTAAAACTTCAATAAATTTAGATTATTTTTATTCAAATTTTTATTTACGCCTATATATATAGCTCGAATAAGGGTAAATCAAATGTCAAATTTCACATCGAGTTGAAGTATTAACAAAGACATAAGACTCTCCACTGACATGACCACTGTATAAGCTTTTAATAACCGTCATAAAGTTTAATATGATTACTCATAAATACTGTATAAAGATATAAAAAACTTATAAAGTTATTGTTTTGTTAAAGAAAATTTCAAAATATTTGTATGAAAGTAATAATTTTGTTTGAATATTTCCTGGCATTTGTACGAAATCATTTTTTAAAGTGACATTATGCCCATCTAAAGATATATAGTGTGTGAAAAGGTGAGAGTCAAAATAAATTTTCATTTTGCCATCCTTCCTTTTGATTTAATAGTTTACTTCACATAAACAAAAAATAACCACCGGACTCGAAAGCAATTTCAGTGAATGTCATCTAGAATCTACCTGTAGCGTTCAATTGATAAAAAGAGTGGGGCAGTCTTTTTATATTTTAGGCAGATTTTAAATTTTATCCTGAACATTTTCCAATATAATCTGTTGGTCAAACATCATTTAAACAGTCAATCTTTTGAAATATAAAGTCAATTCAGCTCAACTTGACAATGAAAATATGAGCATAATGTTCCTTTACAACTGTTAAACAAGTATTAGCATTTCAAAAATTCGGTCAGGTATTCAAAAATATTAGTTTCTTGAAATAGACTCCTTCTTGAACAACAGAGCTAATGTTTCTTCTTTTAAGATACATATTTCGATGCCCCGGTGACAAGGTTCATAGAAGAAGATCAGCAGGTGGTGTACGGGTAGAAACGGTAAAATTGTGTATGTCACCGCCCAGGAACGTTAACGGCGAAAACAAACCCTTCCTATTACAGTAGTGTGGTACAAATTTTTGTTCCGGAAAATTTTATTCTATTAACAGTGATTGTGGTGACAATTGACTGGCATATTAGGGAACCACATTATTTTACCATTTATTATATTTTATTACATATAGCTTCATTTATAGCAGCACGATAAACAAGATTTAATCCAATTCTTTTGAAAATTTGGAAAAGTAAAGTATTCGCTGGTCATTTATTATATATGAACAAAATTGTAAAGAAAAAAAACAAGATATTATAATTCACTAACAATTATGACACCTACCAATCCAAATGTTATATACATGTTTATTTGAAATATGTATTAGCTGCAATGTACATTGTCCGACGAAACACAATTTAACTTATTTGATGAGTACGCTTTAAATTACATAAAACAATCATTTTTTTTAAAGTTCTATATCTATGGAGGGGTGTGTCCGACATAATTATATGTACATGTATCTTGATGACAAAATATATCTAAATATGCATGTATGTTGATTGCATTCTTATGACAGAAATGTCAATATTATAAAACTTTGTGTATACTCCAACTTCATAGCACGTTATATGCTTATTTAATAGAATTAAAAAATTGCAAATGCGAAAACATGACATTGCTTTATTGTACATTTAGAACTATAAATTCAAGAGAGTCATTATTTCAATTGAACGCTCACTTTACAAAATTTCTGTAAATGACTACAATGTATTTATGGCTACGTGATGAAGACATTATACTAGTATGGCTACTGGCTAGTGATATTTTTTCATTATTTTACTACATCTGTTCTTGAAAACAATAACAATCCAACATATTTTCGCAAAATTATTATTTTTTTAAGACAGCAACAAATGGTTATTGAGAGTAGCATGTAATACCCCGGTCACATATTCACGGAATACGCCCACGGAAGAGCCACGGATTAATTCCGGCATCGTCCGTAGCTACCCGTACTGGTCAGTAGCTCTCCGTATTGTACCCGTAATCAATCGTAGTAGTCCTTGTATATCCGTAGCGATCCTTGACAATTTTTGAACATGCACAAAAATTTGCTACGGAAAACTCAACCGTAGCGTATCCGTACTAGTCCGTATTAATCCGTACTGATACGTACTGGTCCGTACGAAAACCGTACTAGTCCGTACTGATTCGTAGTCCACCAACTTGTCAAGGATTTCCACGGTTTTGTACGGAGAACTACGTATTTGTACGGTTACCCTACGTATAAGCTACGGTTTTAATACGGATTAATACGGCATTGTCACGGAAAGCCACGATCGTAATACGTTGTATTACGGAGAGGCAAGGATTAGCACGGTCTTATACGGTTTATTGCGTTGCAACACGAAACGGTACGGAATGGTACGGTCCACCACTGTTTAGTACGGATGAATTAAGTATCATGTACTTTTTCAAGGGTATAAATACTACCTTCTTGTTAAAAAACAGACATATTTGCGGAAACATTTAATAAATGATAATTGCCATTTACTGGCTGCAACTATATATTGAAATGGCTCAGAATGCGGAGGCAGTGGTCGAGCTGCTTGGTGACATACATAGAAGTAAATTTATATTAATATCGTACTACAATTCAAGTAATAGAATAACATTTAATGTTACATATTTTACAAACATTGGATCGTGAAATAAGAGTAAATATGTACATAAAACGAAGTGTCTCATAAGCCGCGGAGGCTGGCCCTTGAGTGATAATAAGATTAATTAACAAGCTTTTTACATATTTTTAAAACATAAACATCACGATAATTAATGTAATTGTAAGATGAACAGCAAATCTTAAAATTAAAAGAGAAGCAGTGTTGATCAACATTTTTCATTAATGATTACTAGTCCATATCTAATCAGGTAAGAGAAGACAGACGAGATGGTTGACTAGAGATGGGCTTTTACGAAGACCGCTTCAAGTTTAGTATGAGGCTCTCGTGGCCGAACTTTGTTGAGGATCCAGCGTCCTTCAAGAAATTCACTTTAATCGGACCTGATGTGTCTCGGGGGTCGGACGCGATTAGGCCGAGTCCTCTCCGCCAAAATCATTGAACTCTGCAATTCGTTTTCTAGGTGTTCTTTTCTTTTAAGGCATTTTGAAAATGAGCAAGCAAGAGGTTGTAGACGGATGTATTAGGTCCGTATAGATCCGTGTCAATTCGTTCTTCTCCGTATCAATACGTTCTTCTCCGTATCAGACCGTACTTATTCGTACTAACCCGTGCTTATACCGTAGCAGACCGTAGTGTATCCGTAGTGCGTCCGTCCTGATTCGTGTCGCTCCGTATCAAACCGTGTCGATCCGTAACAATCCGTGTCTCTCCGGGGGCTTTTGGTGGTAAATCCGTTGGACTCCGTACTCATACCGTTGTGTGTCCGTACTGGAACCGTAGCGGACTACGAAATTTCACATTTCCGTAGTAATCCGTGAACGATTAGACCGTAGCTCTTCCGTGGCATTATCCGTGAATATGTGACCGGGGCATAAGACGCAAGTACTTATATAAGTGGGACATAAACAAATACAATCAGTCATATTTTGATATGACATCAATGACTTCTTCCGAGAAACACAAGTCACAGGTAAAAGGCAATCAGAACGTGCTCGACTATTATTAATAACTTTCGAGTTAATACGGATTGAAAGTAGTTTCAGATGTAAACAGAAACAGAGAGCATAATCTTTGAAAATGTTAAAACGAATGTTTTTAATGACATCCAAAGGAAAATAACGTCCGTTTTTGGTACAATTATGTTTGAAAATATGTCTGACGAACATTTTAAATTTAAATCTGCCCAATGATGTACAATTATAAACAAAACCGACCTAATGTCAACAGGTTGGCATTTTGTACTTTCTGTTTCTACAACCATAATATTAAGTATATGAATAATGTACCGTTTACTTTTCTATCTATAAATTAACTTATTTTAGGTAGACTTTTACTAGATACATTGGAACAAATTGTCAACAACTCTCAGCATTAAATGACGATTTGTTACAAGTTTAGTTTCTTAGCGTAGGCAATGCCGAAATACCGCATCCGTTCTGTGTATTTATACTATTGTGTTCGAGGTCATTATCAGAGGATTGCGGAAATGGCCTAGTAGGTCAATACTGGTCCTTTAAGGGAAGAAAATGTTGTTTAACTTGGATCATGCAATATAATTTATAAAGTCTCAAAAATATCATATTCTCAAGTGTTATTTCATTTTTTTCTAACATGTGCATAGTTGGAAAAGGACAGCTCCTGTCTTATCTTTTTGTAATGGAGGGACACCGGTCTCAACCTCCAGGTATCGGGCAGAGTCAACCCGACTGCAGACTTTTCATAGAGTAGATTGTTGCTTGCACTTGAATAGATTTGTGCACTAAATTTTATAGCGAGTGATTTGTGCCACCCACATGAAAACCGACAAAGTACAAAAAGTAACCCGCGCCAAAGAAAACATGAAAATATCACAAAGTGGTTCGTTTGTTGTATTTTCATGTTTTCGTCCGGTGCCCCCTGATTTAAAATACAACATGGCACAAATCAGCCTCCATAAAATTTCTTACCTAGAAACAAGCTTATTTTTTATCTGTACAAAGAAATACATATTGTACATGTATTAGTACAGTTATGTTCACTTTTAAATTGACCTGATATAAATTATGGTACAACCAATAACTGTCTTATCCCTTTTTACTAAAAAATATTATACAATATATAAATTGTTATTTTAATTAAGACTATGAGTATGTAAGTTTTTCTTTTTTAATTTGTATTAATTAAGAAATAATCTAGCTGTTAATTAAAATATCTTAAAGTATCCGTCACGGTTTAGAACTGTTCACTATTTAGGGGAGAAAATGTGTAAGCGGCCAGACAGCTAAATCGCTACAGCCGCGGAACATTATTCTGTGGGTCACAGGTTCGAGTTCTGGTCAAGCTGCACGCTTTTCTCATCTTGTGACTGCATATATCCCAGAGTTTAATTAACTATGCCCCGCGAACATCAGAATATCGAGGACAAATATTAAAATTGTAGGGAAAATATATTATGGTTAAGAACTGTTCATTATCAAAGAGATTATGTATAGCCGGCCGGATAGCATAGTTGGTCTTCTGACAGTCATGGGTTCAAGTCATGATCAGGCAGTTTCAGTCAGGGTTTAAAAGTGCTTTTTCAACTGACACATGATTGATTTAGTTAATAGATGGTATTAAATTTGAAATGGACAAAGGCAGTATTGTATTCACGATACTTTTATATCTACAAAAGGCATTTGATACAGTTGATTACACTATACTGCACATGAAACTTTAATCATCTGCCATAGGAATTGACATTTTTGACACTTTTGGAATGAAATTAACAGGAACAACGAAAATGTACAAATGCTTAGAACGCGAAAACCAGCATGGCTATAGTCAAAACCGAGGAAAATTCTAAGTCTCGCGTTCAAAGCCCGACTCATTTGAATTTTGAAGTCCTCTCTAATGACGTAGTCCGAAGATTCAGATTTTGTTTGTTCTTGCACAAGATAATAAGAAGACGTTTTATTCAAAGAGGAAATCACACATATTTTAAGATTAACCGGATGCTTATTGATCAGACCTTCCAGAAAATTAAAAAGAAAATAACTTGAAGTTATATTTCTTTTCACTCACTTTATCTATTTATATTTCTAGTTTTATTGGAATCTCTCAAATACTTCCGGCATTATTTACTGGACAAGGAAAATACAGATCATGTAAAGTTCTGACGTCTAAGGGTGACAAAATCCTTGGTTGTAGGGGAACGGGTGTAGCGAATAATAAATTGCCTTAATATGATGAATATTTGTGCAAACTGATTTAAAAATAGGGAAAAGTGCGAAATGGAAAACCTCATGTCCTATCATAAGCCTTGTTAAGGGTTGACCCCTGAGTCTGACCTTGACTATGGTAGAGGCCTTGGTGTTATGTACGATACGTGTTATTATATGGTAAACCCTTGCACCAAGTTATTTCAAGTCCCTTGATTGGTGGCTCAGTTATGGACTGGATATGAAGTATGACGGACAGACAAACAAAAAGACAAACGCACAGTCCGAAGGACGGACGGAACACAACTTTACTTTTGTTTTACATCGGAAAGGCGAGGTTTATCGTGAATAAGTACTCAGAAAATAAAAAAAAGCCATTTATTGAGAATCTAAATGTTTTTTCTTATGCTTCAATCATTTAATATATGATAAACTGCAGTTATGTCAAAACGTTTTAACCTAAAGGTAAAGAAAATACATCTTGATGTTCATTCAACAAAATATGAATGATAAACACTAATTCCATTCCAAAGTTCTTTTTTAATTTCTCCTTAATATTTAGATTTTTCCTTACACGTCTCTAACTATTTCTACCTCGATAATAATTGTCCCAACATGCTTTTAAACTTCATGTAAAAATAATGTCGATAGATTTAAAGGTGCATTACCAATGTCTTTACACGTCCTAAACAGAAGTTACGAATTCAATTTGTCAAATTTACGAACCTTGGATTTGTGACACACATTTTATGTTTAATTTTGTTCAGTATGCATTTATCATGATAAGGTATACAAAATAACGCACGCCAGTGGATTATTGTTTTATTTGATGCTTGACAATAAGTCCATTTTATCTAATACAACAGAAAATGATAAAAAAAGATAATATTAATAAAAATAAGAAAAATAAAAACGAATACATAAGTATGAATTGGAATCCACTCACATAACTACACTTAAACTATTACATGTAGTAGGTGTATCATTGACATTGTATTGCTAGTCATCTAAAACATTACACTAATCTAATCACATTTATTACAATAAATATAAATACAATACAATATAACATTCAAAGTCCAATAAAGAACATTTCTAAAGCTACAAAAAACAGTTACATCATCTATATCTTACTACTAAACGTTTTTCTAAAAGTACATAGCGATTTTTTAAAATACAAAATAACATATATGTATACATTGCACAATATCTATGAAAAAGCACAACATTATTTCTAATCTCAGAATGTAAAGAATAAAAACATCTTAAATATTCAAATATTACAATTAATAAATATATAAAATACAAAAAATGAAAAAAAAAAAAAAAAAGATGAACTGTTTACATAACACAATTTTCAATAAAATCTGAGCACGCAGGAATACACTGACGAAGAAGAAAACATGCATCAATGGATGAAATCAGACGGGCACGTATCGTTGATATACATGTACATTTATGCATCATTATGTAAAACAAACCTACTTCCATGACGACCCGGTCGGAAGTATCGAATCAGAGGCATACTTTATAGTCCAAAAATAGCCCGAATGCATTGTTGTGCATGCGCCTACACAAAAGCTCTCGGACTTATTAGAAATCGTTATCGTGCTTCTCAAGATGTTAACGCGCGAAAGAAGGTACACGCTCTATTAACAGCCTACTGTTCACTGTTTGCATATCACCTGGACTTTTTTCCATCACACATAAATATTATGTTTTCCTTACACCAATAACATTGAAATCTATAAAAAAAACATTTTTTTAAATAACGCAAATTTAACTTTTTTGCAACATTTATGTATATTAATGTCACTATAAATTTTTTTTAAGTAAACATAAAAATCATAATTTATGTCGATTGTGATGAACGATTAAATCAATTTTGCGTCTAATTCCTTGAAACAACATGCTTCCTTTAACTAGTGCAGTAATATCAGGAAATACCATTGCGACCCGAGTAGGTCTTATTTTCCATCATCCCTGGGTTAACAGACATACATCATATCCAACTCTCACCGCACAAAATATACATTAACAATACCACGAAAACACTGAAAGTAGCAGGACATTCAACTACATTTGTAGCTTAAAAATGACCTAAAGTGATTAAAATGTCATCATCAAAATTCATGAGTGTACAAAAATGATGGATTGATAAGAACATATATTACTGTATACAATAAGACTAATACAAATATGATTAAAGTATTATAAGTATCATAGACTTCACATGTAACATCAGGTATAAATATTAAACAACATGAAATATTTTATGTATATGCCACATGCATAACTAGTTTAGCCGTAACTAGTAATCATTCTTTTGAATGATATGAAGTATTATGAATTAGTAAATTGACCTTAATCTTAATCAATTGATTTTACAAGTTGGTCAATAATAATAATAATAATAATAATAATAATAATAATAAATAAAGCTATATAAAACATTAATGACATTATGAAAATATCTTGAACAAGAAAACAAAACATAAGGTGTTTAATATGGATAAGAATAAAGGAAATTTAAACAAGAAGGTTTTTATGTCACAAAAGCAGATGTCTCCCAAAACTAAGTGTGCTACTCATAACTCCTGCGAAGTCTTTATGATATACAGCTAGAAGTTAGACAGGATTTTTTCTATTTATAGCTCTGGCGGCCATTTTGTACAACAGAGCAGAATATGACGGCAATGTGCACACCTCGGGATATTACTGATCACTCCTTTGAAGTTTAATTGAAATCCTGCCAACAGTTTGACCTGTGTAAGCTGGACAAGATTTTTTTCTATTTATAGCTTTGGTGGCCATTTGTGTAGCCAGGGAAGCAGAACCTGTCGGCGAAATGCACAAGTAGGTATGGTACTGATCACTCCTGTGAAGTTTTATTTCAATCGCACTAGCAGTTTGACATGTTAAAGCCGGACAAGAACTTTCTATTTTTAACTCTGGCGGCAATTTTGTGTAGCGAAGAAGAACGTGCTGGTTAAGTATGGTACTGATCACGCCAGCAGTTTGACCTGTGAAAGCCTGACAAGTTTTTTTCTATTTATAGCTTTGGCTGGCATTTTGTGCAGCGACGCGTTACATGCTGGCAATGTGCACAACTAGGGATGGTATTGATCAATCCTATAACGTTTGTTTGAAATCCCTCCAGCAGGTGAAAGACAGACACTCTTATTGCAGACGGACAGACGTCGAAGGCAAAAACAATGTCTCCCAAAATGTTTGGGAGATATTCAATTCTTTTAATTCATCTTTTATTACACAACAAATATATAAAACAGCCAAATTACAGTTTTTCTGCTACAGATTTTTTTAAAAAACTTATTTGTAGTATTTTTGCTATATATTCTTTTATGTTGAACTCGAAACGCATTTTTATTTATTTGTTATCTTTCCGCTTGTTACAATTTACACATTTTGAAATAAGTTTTTGCAGAAGTTTTCCAAATTGGCGGATATTTTCCTGTAAAGCTCTTTCGTCTGCAGCTATCGCTAGTTTTGCATCAATAACAACAATTAGTTTGTTATCCTATGAATAATAAAATAATACAATTAACTAAATACATAGTCTGAAACAAAACCACACACACATTATTATATATATATTACTCGAAGCAAAATGAACTCCATAGAAATGAGACAGCAAGTGTAAATCTTTAAAAGAAATGACTCCCTGGCCATGTTATTAATAGCGACGGCCATGGTTTAACGACGACCCTACACGAGAAAAAAATCATGCGGAGAATGGTGACCCCCTTAGAATAATGACACCAAGCCCTGATATGTTTGGCAATTTTTAACGCAAGGTAACCCTTTCATACCATACAACAAGTTAATGACTCTTTTCTAAAAGAAAAAAATAAACATATAAATTTCCTTTGCAACCTGACTCATGGCTATATTTCAAGTATGATTTATCTTTATATCCAGTGCAGCAGCTGTAAGTGGCGTGATATCGACAAATCAACGTTTTGCCGATTTAGTTAAGACTGTGTTTGTTGAATTTACTAGAAAATACATAAAAACAAATTCATTTCTTTTCATTAAGTTTTTACTCCTTTAATACAAAATCAGCCACAAAAAACAGATACAGTTACACTTTTGATTTAAAAGATAAGACTTAAATTTGACACAAGCTAGTCATAGGTTCGACTCTTACTAGGGTTTTCTTAAACTTGACCAGTAAATGGAATGTCCAGGAAACTGACTTATGAATGGTACAAATAATCTTCAAGCAAAATAGAATGTTTATGTTACATCTTAGTCCATAGTGTTTCATGAAATGGGCATGCTTCCATAGGGTCAATTGTACATAAAAGTTGCACACAAGGTACACTGTGCCTTGTTTCGAATTTCTAAAACTTGGTAATTATTTTTCAGCAGGAATATTATGTATTCAGGTGGGTTCACTATAACATTTCTCCGGCTTCATATGTATTCGTAAACAAAAATGTCAATAGATAAAAAAATAAAAACAAAATTATATTTAGACCAGTCCTGTTATTCAGTAAGAATATCATAACGTGTTATATTGGAACGTACCTTTGTCTTATTTACTTCAATGTAGATATTAGTCTCACATATCTGATCTATTGCAATAAAAGACTCATGTAATAGTCGAAGGTAGTCGGCAAGTTGTTTGGACACTGCTGCAACAGTACGGACTGACAAACATGTCTCGTCATCAATTATTTCTTGGAGACTTCTCATTGTTCCGGCGGGTACATGCTCATATTTCATCCGAATGGATTTGCTGAATTTCTGATATTCTAGAATGGCGTTTCCAATTTCTGAAAAAGGAACAAATTAAATATTAAATGAAACACTATTGTACCAGCTACTTGGCAAAAATAAGCACAAACTGTTAAATAATTTGACTTTATTATCATCAACCTTGTCAATCAAATATTAAATGTAATAAGCTACAAAATATGGTAAGTGATTTCAGAAGCACTCTAATCATTCTTCAAACAGAACATCATGTTCACATGTCATCGGTCGGAATTGCATACAAAATGAACAATATCAAATATCTTCTTAGATAATAAGATTGATAGCAGTTAAAAATTAAATAATTATGAGATAATAAATCTTACAAACAAAATTTTAGGTTTGCTAAGTCAAGAACTTAAGCTACTTTAATTTCAAAGGAACATAGAGAGATCGAAATAAACTTGAAGCCGACAACAATTTTTTACCTTTTTGGACCATGGTTCTACTCTGCTCATCAATACTAGGATTGAAACTCTAAAATTACAAACAAGGAGAACGTAAACTTATTCTTTAAGAGATTAAGACCATAAAAAGGCATTTAATAGACTTGGTTACGGCATCAAAATATGTACAAGGTTTTTACTCTCAGACATAATTAATAGGAGGGACGTTCATGAAATTATGTTAACGGTGCACTTCCAAATCATTGGAAAAATTGTGGCCGTTTTAAAAGAACATTTTCATAAATAATGGCGTAAAATCTTCTAACTTTCGCAATGTCTTTCTAAAATTCAAAAGTTATATTTTCAAAAGTAAATCATTGGCAATCATATATATTAACTATCATTTTGTAAAAAAAAAATGTTTTAAGTCTAATTTCGGTTAACTTTGAAGATTTAAGCGTCACATATATTTGAATTATTATGTCAAAACAATTCTGTAATATTTTCAATGGATTTAGGTTTATTGGTGGAAAGTAAATTTTAAGCCGAGAGCTGCTGCTATCAAGGGTGATAATGTAGAGTTTAGATATTACGCCCGTCAAGGTTTGCAAGCATTTGCTGTAACCAGAGGTTATATGGGTGTTGAATAAAATCGAATTGTATTTTCTGATAGGTAGAGGTGATAAACTTGCTACCTGTAGACATTTGAATATTATAAGTATGAGTGATTTATATATATATATATATATATATATATATATATATATATATATATATATATATATATATATATATATATATATATATATATATATATATATATATAATATGACATATATTTAAATGACATGTCTGCTGGAAATCTGTTCATCTTTTTAAAACTGCATATACGCATTGATCATCATGATGTTGCAGCCTAACATTTTAAGCACTGTTTTAACTTAGCTCATTCTTTTTAAATTTCGCTGACTGTACGACTTATTGTAACGAGGAGGACCGTTTTCTGGACCCATGTTTACGTTTTGTTGAAATACTAGTAAACGTGGCAATGGGATTCGCATTAAAATCATAGTTCTTGGATATGTAGTTTTCCACTGGAAAATTAAACTCTTGGACAATATTTAAACAAATTGTGTAGAGGATCAGATGTGATGCTTCATGTACAATATCTAAACTCTAGGCTAGGTTCTCTTGTTTAAAAGTAGAAGATTGTTTCCTGTACAAGTCATTGTAAAGATTTGACTTTAGATCTAGGCAGGGCTATTTTAACACACTGGGCATTTATTTTTATATTTTTTATAGACCTGAGGTTAAAATTCTTAGCTCCAGGACATAAAGTTTTAGTGATGGATATTTAAAAGCAAAGCGTTTTAATTTTAAAACAAGAGCCATGTTTGCATGGCCATCTCCCGCCGAATGTGTTTGCGCATTGAAAGAATGATATATAGTAGAGCAGAATAATTTTCAGAGGTCTTTTGGTAATGAAAACTGATGGCTGAAGTGATAACAGACTTGAAACCTGTGAATACTGATGGCTGAAAATAACAAAGGGCAATAACTGAAAAATCATCATTCTTGTGTGCTCCACCTATGAAGTTTCAAATTGATACCTCTAATACTTTTTGAGATAAGCTCCGGACAAAAAGTATGAAAAATAACAAAGAGCAATAACTCAAAAAATACGAAGGGTAAAGTTATTATTTTTGTGCACTGTACACCTCCCGAGTGAGATGTATCCGCCTATGAAGTTTCATGTTGATACCTCAAAGCTTTTTGAGTTATGATCTGGACAAAAAGTAAGTTTAAAAAATAACAAAGGGCAATAACTGAAAAATTATGCAAGGTAGAGTTATCATTCATGTGCACTGCACTATGAAGTTTTAAGTTGATATTTTCAAATACTTTTACAGATTTGCTCCGGACAAAAATGTTAGACAGAAGGACGGACGGACGGAAGGAAGGACAGACAGACAGTTGGAGACTAAGTTGTATTTTGAGTTTCAAGTGAATACCTTATATAGTGAATACTTAATGAGATACTGTCTGCACAAAACAAAAGCATGAAAAAGAACACAGTGCAATAACTGAAACATTATGCATGGTAGCGTTATCATTCTTGTGCGTTGCACTTCTCCTCAATGAGATCTATCCACCTATGAAGCTTCAAGTTGATACCTCTAACACTTTTTGTGATAAGCTCAAGACAAAAAGTATGAAAAATAACAAAGGGCAATAATTCAAAAAATATAAAGGGAAAAGTTATCGTTTTTGTGCACTGCATTCCTCTTTAATAAGAACTATCCACTTATGAAGTTTCATGTTGACACCTCAAAGACTTTTCGAGTTATGCTCCACTCAGGTGAAAAATTAAGTATGAAAAATAACAAAGGGCAATAACTAAAAAAATATGAAGGGTAGAGTTATCATTTTTGTGCACTGCATACCTCCTGAGTGAGATCTATTTACCTTTGGAATTTCATGTTGATATCTTTAAAAATTAAAATTATCATTTTTGGGCATTTTGAATATTTTTTGTGGCAAAGGGTGATCAAATTATCACTCCTCTAAAGTAAAAATCTACCAATAGTCATGGAGATGTTGTTTAAAGGAAATTAAGATGACGAAAAACGATGGAAAACAGAAATTATGCTTTCACAAAAGCTCACTCTGAATTTTCTGTGTTCAGGTGAGCTTAAATCCATTTTGTAGAAGGAGCATATTTTCAATGGTAATAGTAAATTTAAGAGTGTCAAATTTCAGAAAAGGTTTTGTCGTATACACTTTTATATAATGTTTGATGTACATTTAATTAAGCTCAATGTTAACATCCGGGAGAAGAAAATAACACGAATATTTTACCTTCTTCCCAATAATTGCAGTCACTGTATACAAAATCGGATTACAGGCAGAGTTAATTGGTAATATGAAAACGACAGTCCATGCATAAACATCACTTGAAATCAGAAATCCATTTAATGCCAAAATACCTAAAAAAGAAGAGATAAGTGTATTTTTATACTTGCATGATATTTGGCTGAACAGATAAAACAGTTGAAGATTAACTAGTTTACAACAATACAAAAATTCGATGTTTGAAAACTTTTGTATAAAATATAAAAACATTTTTTCGTATCTATTTGTGTACGCAAATATAGAACATTCATATTTTTAAATTTATAGGGTACTTTTTTGGAAACATTAGAGGGTTTTACGTAAATATCTTGAAAAGGTGATCTATCGGAAACATTAACTCAGAACAATTACATGAAAATTGCAGACTAGGTTTGTGTCTGTATATGAGGAACAATGAACGCCTTGCATCAATATTTTTCGATGTTTTCAATGCACAAGTCAATTAAGGCTATAGAGCAAGTGTAAAAATGTATCGTTTGCACCTTAACCCCAGAATTACCTTACTTAACTCAACGTTAGGGGACAATAAAAATATCTGCCTACCATATATGAAAACCTTTGTCAATTTATAAAGGCTGCATGGGAAAAATTGTAAATTGGCCCTTAACTAAGGAACAACATCTCATTTATCAAATGTTATAGTACAACTAAAGATATTTATCTGCTGAATAAGAATGACACTTGTCAATAAAACACTTTTGTATAAACAAAAGCATAATAAACAAGTTTAGCACCATTGACTTTGACCTTGATATCTTATTACTTTATAAAAACATATTTGATTATTTTCTTGAACGGCGCATCAACATAATCTAGCATCGGCTTAAGCAAAATTCAATATCTACACATGAAAATGGTGAAATTTTCAACCTAGAATCATCCGCAGATGTGTTCATACAACCTTCAACGTTACACTTTCGTAAAGCGGCAAATTATACCAAAGTAAAAGATAGCGCGTACACTAAACGAGAAAACAATGAGCGGAACTAAACAAAATGGAATTTTGAAAGGGTATCATAGGTTATGGAGCCTGCAAATTACAGATAAGACGTCAAAAGACAAATGACAAAAGCCATATTCCAAGCTGCTTATACAGTATTCAAGTAGTACAACCAGCAACCAAAGTAGATAAAAGGTCAAATAGGACAATTAAAAATACAACAAACATGTACACACAACAATCATGGCGTACTGAACGATGTTCAATGCTATCCATCTTTGAAAATATGTACAGGGCGACTTTTACGGCCCCAACAGTCTACATGGCACAAATAACACAGAGGTGGCAATGAAATAGAGAAAAACGTAATTCCTAAAGAGCGTCAATAATAACAAAAATAAAAATGTTGCACGCTCGTTTGTTTCAGCTAATTAATAATGTTAATTGACGGTACTGAAAATTGTAGGAAACAATCCATGCCGCCCAGCATCGGCTTCAGCAGATTTCTAAACTATAAATCCTACTACATGTATTTTGAAACTGAACACAGTTGTGCACACTGAAAGTGCAGTGTCAAAGAATCAGAACTATACAGTACTTAGTTTAATTTATTGTTTCCTTTTATAACACTTAACAATGCTTTCCCGGATACTAACCTGAAAAAAATTGAAGGAATTCGATTAAATCCTCAGCATTTTTAAAGGTTAGCCCTCACACACAAGGGGATAAGGAGATTTATACACGAAGTATCTACATACTTAATACAAAATTCATTAGAATAAAGGCTAAAGCGTTTAACCGGAAGTATGACATGAATTGTTTAGAATTATAGAGGGAGATAATTAAAAAACAAGCAAGGTAACATTACTGATCTTAAAAAGCACACATCCTCTATCCGGTCTCTATCAATGTGTTATGTGTAAGTAAAATTATTTTAATTCATTTCAAATTATTCCCCGGCCAAAACGATATTATGTTTTCAAAGATAAATAATTAAAAATTAAGCTATAAAGAGTTATTGTTCTGCAACACTGCACTTTTCCAGCTATTTTCTATGACCGTGTGGGGATTAAATAAGATATTATTGACAGTTTAGAATAGACAATAACGAAATCCTTAAAGAATGCCCAAACCGACAAAAAATGAAGATGTGACAGACTCGTCTGACAAGTTTTACACCTAAAATCGATTTTAAAATGTTCAAATTACCGTATAACTGGTTATTTCTGCGGGTGCAAATTTTTGCGTTTTGGGACTGAAAATGGGTATATTAATTTTTGCGAATTTATTTTTTGCGTGTTTCATCAAAAACATTTATAAAATTTCATTTCTGCTGTTCCATGCAGACTAACATATTTCCTTTGGTGAAAATACGGCGTATTCCCCCCTCTTATTTTATGATTTATTGTTAGGTTTATCATTTCAAGATTCGAGATTGCATCTGTTTTCATCACTGGTTAAATCACTGGTTAATTTCGTAACAATTGTGTCATAATCCTTCATTTCACGAGATGACAAACTTTCTGATAATGGACCATTTTGATCCGGCAATCCTTTTCGTACCAGATATTTTAGCAGAGCCATATTGGAAATAATAATCAATACAGCCTAAAAACAAAAACATGCTTAACTTATTACACGATAAACTATATGTAAAATCTTTTGTGTTAAATTGACTACACCGAGAACGTGTTACAAGCATCTCACATTTCTCACATTTCTCTCTCGATTTTTACTAGAGTGAGAGGCTACCCGCGGGGTGTGTATTGATTAATTTAACAGGTAAATTGAGGTGAAAACGTGGTAAATTACATATAATACTACGAAATATTTGCGAATTTAATTTTTGCGTCAGGAAGGGACCCGCAAAATATCGCAGAAATTAACTATCCGCAGAAATAACCAGTTATACGGTATCATAAAGGGAGATAATCATTAAAAAGAGAAGTCACATTATTGCTTTAAAAACTGCAATTCCTCATGCTAATTTCTATCACTGAAAGACGTTTTAATCAACTATATCAAATATGTTTCAAGTTTTTTTTCCGGACAAATATCAATGAAGCATTTAATACAAAAACTAAGTAATGTTTCAGTGTAATATCATAACGGTTAATAGTTATGACGTTAAACACCAGACACAGTCATGTTTACTAAAAGGAATACTTCATAATTAAGCAAGAAAGAGTTCTGATTGTAGAGCACTGCACTGCACTCATAGGGTTAATATCACTGTGTGAAGTATAAATAAAATCCCTTCCAAAAACAAACTTGTTCTCTAGACAAAAGTGTGCCGGACGGTTGGAAAGACAAACCGACAAGGCTGCGACTATGTTTTCCCTTCGAAGAGCATAATAAATGTTTATCAATCTATGGTTAAAACGACATATTTACCCATCACTCCTATTGGAAACCAACACAGAAAATCAGTTGTTGCAACGAGGATAAGATTTCTAGCCACTCTCAAATCACGTTTCCTGGATTGCTGTGTTTTTTTCATAACTGACCCTGCTCGCCGAAGTTCTGTGAATATCGAGATTTGTCCTATAGCAACCAGAATAAAAGTGCAGAAATTCAAACCAACGAAAATTGACATTGAATATATCCACCCTGGAGGTCTGTCGCGTGTTAAAGGCAATGCAATACATACCCCTGTTTTGGAGTAAAATTTGTCATGGAAGTGACTTGTGTAAATAATGGGAATGATCGATAGGATAATCGAAATAAACCAGCATATTCCGCGGGGCAAATGTACCCCTTCAAGGGCCCAAAACCCTAACTTTTCCCAAAAGGGAAAACTTAAATCCCCAAAAAGTCGGGTCTAATGGATCAGGAAAAAAAATAATACCCCTGGCTTCGATAAATGTAGATAAAACCACAGAAAATAAAACCAATTACTGTTTCTCCATTGATCATCCATAGCAATGTATCTGAAAATAAACCGTATCTTATTATTAAACAATACACTTTTAGAATGAAATTTCTTAACATCATGTTTGCTCCCTTATATTTCATTCTTATCAGTATCACTTGATAAGATGAGATAATAAAAGATATAAAATATATTACTGATTTGTTCTTTAAATGGAGGGATATCTGAAAATGTCATTTCTTAACATTCTTAAAAAACGTAAGAATACTTGAAATATCTAAGGAAACAAATGGACAAGGATGTCTCTTTTTTACAAAAGTTCTTTGAACATATAGAATGAAAGTACTATCTAAACAAAATGAAATGTAAGAAACATATGTGGACAATATTACCTTGTATATGTTAACTAATCAGCGTTACACAAAAACTTTAATAAACAAATATATTTTCCGCATTGTGTAAATATCGTTTGTATTTCTATTTTCATGTAGAGAGAAAAAGGAGTCAGCTACAGTTTCAAGAAGTGAATTATTACGAAACTAAGGAGTTCATGTTGTTAACTCAGTCAAGATGTATATGTTTATGCAGCATGAAATCATAATCGATGCCCTTAGTGTAAATCAATAAGGAAATAAATATTTGTTTCTACAAAGTGAATCATGAATACATCAGTACCTGTTTCTGTAGAGTGAATCAGCAATTGCTATTATGATAAGGTACACTCCCATCAGGAAATCGGCTGCTGCAAGGTTAGTTACAAATATGCCATAACCTATTTTAAGCCTTTCTCGATCGTAGACAAGACGGTAAATGATTGACGAGAGGTTTCCACACAATGAAGCTACCCCAACTATCCACAGAACTGCTTGAAGTACAGAGTTTCTCATCAGATCATCGCATGAAGAAAATTCATTTCTTAATGGTTTGCAATTTTCTTCAGGAACGTAAGATGGACGAACAATACAACAGAATTTAAATGCAGGTGTATGAAGTTCTTGAAGTGATGTTACGCCATTTAACATAAATTTTCCAAAACTTATCACATTATTTCCTTCAAAATTGATTTTACGAACAAGGGAATTGCTGAATGCATTGTCTTCAATTTCTTCAATTTTGTTGTTAGAAATATCTAAACTTTCTAACTGTAAGCCAGAGAATGTAAATGAGCTTATTTTTTTCAGGTTTGTGCCTGAAATTCTTATGTTTCTTAATGCTTTTAAATCTTTAAAAGCTGTAGATGAAATCTTTTCTAATTCAAAGTTGCTTTCTAGATTCAAGTAGGTTAAATGACCAAGCCTGCTAAATACCCTGTCCGATAACTCTCGTATTCTGTTACTACTTAGATCCAGTGATAACAGATTTTGTATTTCATAGAAAGCTTGTTTATCAATATGGTGAATGTCACACGACGAAATATTAAGTCGTAACATGAAAGGAAAACGTAAATTGTCTTTGTATATTTCTTTTATTTTTTTATTTTTACTTAGATCAGCACTCCTTGCCTTTATTGTCAGTGATGAGATATCAGATATAGATATGTCGGCAGCTCTACAGTTAATAAAATCACCAGTACAATTACATTTCGGAGGACACACAGAATCACACAGGAGCTCATCATCACCATTATTGCAATGAATGACTTTATCACACAGTTGTTTAAGTGGTATACATTGCTTACTTGAAGAACATCTGTACATTCCAGCACATGGAACATATGAAGCCTCTAAAATAAACAAAGACTGATTGAATACGAAAAATAACAAAAAATACAACGGTTACCTTAACTGATATATGAATCACTTGAATTGCTGTCATTACTTCCGTCTCTCTCTAAGTTTACCAAAATTGTTACACTTACGACACTGCTTAAGAATCAAACACGAATACCATACAGAATATCAAAATAAAGTTGTTTATACTAATTTAGCTGGCATTTCTATCACCAAAGTCTTAAATATATAATGAACATATCTCTATTTTGGAGAATATCATGAAATGTGTACATCAAATATGTCTAAGTTAATAACATTGCCGTTCATAAATATCACACTATATATCTTCTCTAAATAATTGAAGATAAAATTTAATGTATTTACTTCAAGGCATATTAAATCTCTTTTACCCACCTGTACATATTTCTGGAAAACGCCTAAATCCTGTCGAAAATAGCGAACTCCATGTTCTGATGTGTATATCTTTCACAAATTTGTATCTTTCAGTCTTATAAAGTGACAAACTGAAATCTTTTATCACTCTATATATTGAAAAAACTGGTTCAGAGAGATTGGACAATGCTAACTCAGTAACAATTGACGATTCATCGCTATTTTCAAGCATGATAATAGCTCTTTTTTCTGATTTGGAAAATTGTAGATTTTTTAACAAATCTGCTGGCAATGTTTCATACTTGCACTCAGTTTCACATTCTGAATTCACACGCTCTTTTCTGATTTCCAACATACTATCTGTAATGTCAGTCTCAATTGAACTATGCAGTCTCTTAAAGTAAAACAATCTTACGATACTTTTTTCAGTGCTTGTAAAAAATTGTTTAGCTAAATGCATTGCTGTTTCTTCACTCTCAGAGTCCGAATCTTCCACAAATAAGATAACTTCTTTATCCGAGTTTGTACACGCTGAAATGAGAATTCCAAAAGGAAATGAAACGTATGACAATGACAATGATATTCTTGGAGACTGCAAGCGTTATAAGATTGAGTGGAAGTTTGAATTTCGGACAGATAAAAGAACACCATATGTAGCGAATTTATTCATTCACGTAGGGAATATAACAAAAGTTATACTATATTTTGTACGAAAACTCATTTTGTTAAAACTCAGTCTAGATATGAAAGCATCGGCGCATTTTCCAAAATTCAAGTTAGCATCCTTTTCACTTTCATATTTGCTTTAATTTTATGACAATTTAAAACAAACATATGAATCGGTTCATGCATATTTCAAAATAAATACGAGAACAAAATTTGAATATTTATATCTAGTTAATAATAGCTCGTTATACCACACAACCACCTCTTCTGAGATATATGGTACATTACATTAGCACTATTACAGAACTAGTCTGTATCGCCGAATTCGAATTTTAGTGTCAATAAAGGTAAAATTTTGTCTTAATTCATATTTTTTTTGTAAACTCTGGATTGCTTTTCAAAAAAACCAAGAGTGCTAAACTATGTAGATTTTATTAAAGTTTTTAAAGAACGTAAATAATGTATATTTGTTTGATCTGTTTCAGTTCCGGAGTTTCTCAGTTAACAAACGTAACATTGAAATGAATTTTTTCATCATTAAACAGTATTTTTGTTATCTTAACAGCAGTCCAGAATACGTTTTAAGTAGATGTTAAGTCTGGAATGCAATTAACATTTTAATCGAAATCAAAAAAATATATTTTAAAGGAAGTGGAGTACAAAGGCGGGGTCAAAAAATGATATGAAAAGCTTTCGGTGCTATAAATCTTAAGGCCATTGACCAAGTTATCGCTTAATTGTGTGATAGGATTAAGATCATGTTTGCGTATGATTGCTTTAGATAAGCAGCTATTCCTGCTTCGGAATCAAAATGCATTACCTCCGCTTTATAAATTACAGACAGCTGCATTGAAGTTTAGGTTCGGGATTTTAACCTTACTGAACGGGAATATAACATTTAATTTAAACTGCCTGGAAATTAATTCAAGTCTACATCGTTTAGCATTCTTCAAATTAATTTTCTATATTAAATGCAGAACTTACAAATCATACACACCTACGAGTATATGAGAAGACAGCATGAAACCTTTGTTGACAATTAAATTAATTATATTTGGCGACCTGCACAAGCTCAGAAGTAGCAAAGGAGCAATTTACTGTATAGCTCCGAAAAGGTAAACCTGTTTTTACGGATGTATACGAAAATGGTTTCAGTGATTTTATTGCTTTATTTTTAATAACTTTTACTGATATTCACTAAAATTGTTAATGTTTTGTACACCCTGCATTTCAAAATATTTTAATTAACACAATAATTTAAAGGCACTTGATCAGATCTGTTGTGTTGTGGGGAAAAATATGGCATGGAAATAAATTATTGGCTGCTATTTCTATAAGGTCCATTACGGTAGGAGAAATATCATTAATGTTGATTCAATCAATGTTTTCGCAAGACTTATTTTCTGTATCAGTGACATATTTTACTCTCGAAAGGGATTTGTAAAAATACATATAATTTATGATACTACAAATAACAAATTTACGACACTTTTCAAGCCAACTTTATCTATATTAAACTCGTCCATACAATATGTAAGTGTCAATGGTATCTAATTTTCCTTAGTATGTTTATCATGACATGGTTAGTAAAATAATGTACACCCTCTAACGCATTTCACACTATTTCCCTGGTAAACAGATAGGGTAGTAACGTGCATTATTATACAATTATTACATGATGATCAGGCGAATTGCCCATTAGCTAGATCCATAGACTTGCGAATTCAAGGAAGTCTTCATGCATCAAATTGACATTATTCATTTTGTAAGTTTTCGAACTTACAAGCTACCATTCACTTAATAAGCTGGTGAAAAGCGCAGAAGTCATTTTCCAATTTTGGCGTTTGATCTCTTTCGTAAGCTTGAACATGTTCACAGGAAAGCGCAGCAAAACGCCTTTTTATTTTATTCTTTTATTATTGACAGAATGAACGCTGTCTGAATCTGTAATTTGCACACGTTTGTTTAACATCATTATGTATCTGTTTAATAGGTATAAAGGAAAAATTGAACCAGCAAATGTCTTGTACTTAATAAAAACCGAGCATCATCTAACATTGAAAAGATTAGCATTTTATGTAACCTAACAGTAAAATACGTTAATGTAAACTAACATTTGTGTTTCATGCATTAATAGGTTAATTGTATAGTGATATATTTTCTGAACTTGAAACTATGTGTTGTACATTAATAATATTATGTATTATTCTCACCCTTGTTGGACATAGTTTACTATTATGCTATTGTATTGTATATTATAGTTTGTTACACAACCAGATGATGTACATCTTTTTGATATTGTAATGTGTATTTGGTTCGATGGCCTAGATTAACGTTACAATAACAATGTTAACTTGATGAATATCTCCTAGAATAAAGGTCAACAATGTTACTTTCATTGGACTGTCCATTGCAATTTGCAGCAAAGGGTAATAATTTGTCATAATTATAAAAAAAATGTAATAGTGCATAATTTATTGTTCTTACGTTTTGTATTTATGATTCATAATATTAATAACTTATAGTAGAACACTCAAAATTGATACATTAAACATTAATACCATTGCTTAACATCATACCACTAGATTTTCGTATTTTTAAACTGATGATACAATGCACACACACCAAGTTAATTAAATTTGCAGTTTTAAAATATACAAACAATTGTTAAATTATGAAGAAATCTTTGGTCAAATTTTAGCGTTTAATATAATTAGTAATTTTTGACATTATATTTATTGTTCAATCATTTTAAAGGTGAATAGATCATATTTTCGTAAACTGTAAATTCATTTTCCTTACGATATGAATATAGAGGCATTCCACAAAAAGCTACACAAATTTATGGTCGTATTAATTTATTATTCATTCAAAAATCTTTATTTCAATTTTCTTTGTTAAGCGTTTTTCAGTAGTATAATTTAATCTATTTACAGGGATAATTTTATTCTGTAACACACATGCATATCATTTAAAATATTTTTAAATTTGACAAAAATCATAATTTCATCAATATGTGTGACAGGCAAGTGAAGTAGGAGCATTATTGGTTTATGGCACATTTCTATATCACTCAGACAAAATTTAAATAGACAGTGTAATCTGATTGGTTAATTATGTCGTGTACACTTAATTACCTCGTGCGTGCGCATGACTAGTTACTTGTACACACCACTTAATTATCTCGTGCGCACGACTTAGTTACTCGTTCGTACGACATAGTATCTCGTGCGCACCACTTTATTATCTCGTGCGGATCACCTAATTATCTCGCAGGCACGACTAAGTTGCTCGTGCGCACGACTTAGTTACACGTTAGCACGACTTAGTTACTCGTGCTCACGACATAGCATCTCTTGCGCACGAGATATAACGCACACATGTCACCACTTTGTCACCGTACATATCCGACATAATGTACGTTTATTAATTAGTTAAAACGTTGCAATCGACCTTTACATTTATTTAACTTATTCGTCGCGTATATCCAGTAACGCAGGAATATGCAAATCAAGCAGAAATTTTGCAAAAGTCATGCAGAGCCGTGCAATTATATTGCTTAAACGAGCACCAGGTAAAGTAAATAAACAAATATCTTTTATTGTACATCAAATTAAAAGAAATAAATAAGCATATACGGTTGCTGAGATATGATATGTCAAACCCCATTAAACTTTTCCCATTAAAATGTTTATTACATACTAATAAATGAAAAATCGAGAAATATTGATGAAAAAAATGTTTTTTCATTTGCCGTATTTTCACTGTAAAAATTCATTTTTCACTGTATTGAAACATATTTTCCGTATTTTTCACTGGTGTCTTCACGGACTACTTTCTTCTTAATATAGCCAATAAAGAAAATTAAAATAGAAGTATGAAGAATTGAAAGGTCAAAAAAGAGAAAAGAATTATAAAAAACATAAAAATCAAGTTTTTTTTCTCTAAAAATACAGGATTTATTTTCAACTTGTGAAATGAAAATTATCTTATTTCACATGTGCCTGCCACTCGTGAATTATTTATTTTCATACTATTCGATGAAAATAAATCTTGTATTTATAGAAAAAACTTGAATATCCTCTATTTGCTTTTCAAGATCATTTGTGAAAAAGACGTCCTGACTAGAGTTTTCGAATACAAACTTTTAAGATATTAACGAAACACAAAAGTCGACAGCCATACTCGAGTAAAGTCGTCAATCTGACGAATGATTTTGAACGAAACACAAAGTCGCTTTTAAATCAGTAGTTAGTTCGAGATTCTCACAGTGATCTAATAAAGTAAATATTTTCCCGGGAAAGAACATAATGCCAGTTAAAGTATAATGCCCTACCAGCCGTATGCGCTTATTCGTTTCAGGATAAATATTTTGGTCCGGTTACTCTTACCATGTTACTCGTCTTGCCAATGCGTTGCACAGATTCGGCGTTATTTTTGCGTAATTTTGCACATTACTTCGTTACTGATTATAAACTGTTTATTTATTTCAATCCCTGATTTATATCAAAATACACATTTTATAAATTCTTTTTAAACTTTGTCTTTTTTGCGGCGTATTTTAATCCCCGTTGTTATAATATCTATATAACATCTTTAACGATTAATGATGCAATTCAACCTACCTGATTAATTAACTGCATTAATATTGTGTAACAAACAGACAATAGGTAACGTAATGTCTTTGAAACTATATTCCAATATGGCCGCCGCGGATGAGCAGTTCGTGACCTTTAATCGTCCCATATGCAGATATTTTGAATGACGATCTAAACTTGATCTGAATACTATAAAAGATGCATTCTTCACTTCGTCTTATTATGATTAACATTTCTGCCAAATAGTTTCAACTTCATTTCATAGGTTCAAAAGACACGAAAAGAGATTTTGAAATTCATAGCTAGCACATTATCTGATTGTGCTAAACATTTCTGCTAAGTATCGTTTTCCATTTACACTTATCGTTTCAGAGATACCTCGGAAATTGTTTTCTTGCGGATAAACAATCAAAGGCGTAACTTATCAAACGAAATTATTTTGGTCGAATACAGATGACATATTACAATCTAAACAAATCAAAAATATGTGTTAAGTTTAGTTATTATAAATTTTGATCACTTACTACAATCGTGTTCGTCTTCTCCTCCAGGACATTCGATATGCCCATCACATAGAAATCTCTGCTCAATACAGTAACTTCCAGGACATTTCACTGTATTTTCAGGACAAATGAAATTTTCTGAAAACACAAAAAAACACAAACAAAAACAAATAAACAAACAAAAATAATAAAAATGAAAATGTTGCATTTTAATGCAAACAAATAATTTTAAGCAAAGCAATTTTAAAAGAAGTGATTGACTTAAGAACATATATTATTCTATTACTTTTTCCTATTAGTATTGAAGGACATTTACTTACACTACATTGTTATTGCATGTTTATTTTAAATATCCCTCAATGCATTACATTTATTACATAACATTATAATAGGGCATATTTCTAATAAATCCTATATTTTAGCGTAATTATAATAATGAATACGTTACTCGTAAAATGAAGATATTTGATTTAATAAACAATCGGAAATTTCAATTTCGCAGAGAATATATTGTCAAGACTTTTAAAAAAACATTTCCAAAAGCGTCCGTTTATATAACATGTTATCATAAAAATATTATGATGATGTGATTAATTACAAAAGTGACCGGCTGTCGATTAATATAAAATAACGTTCATGCTTCCTTGCATTATTTAGCCCCTTAATACTATATTAAATTGCTAGAAAGTTTCTTCTTGTTTTTGCTGCCCTGTTAAAGCTTTAAACTCATAAACCCTAATTTACTTACATGTGTCTGTTTGGCTACTAGTCAAGTTATTTTCGATAGAAGTCAAGATATCGGTTCTTAGCAATTTTCTATATTCATTATCATAAAATTGTTTTAAATACATTTAAGAAAGATTTTCAGAGGTAAAAGAGATTTTATAATTTAATTAATGGGAATCTTAATATTTATCAAGGTTTTAAGGACAAAAAGATTTTTTTCTTCATTACTACGCCGAATGATATTTCACGGGAAATCAGACGGTTTCTTTTTATGTGCATAAGGTTATTATATTCATATTTGTTTTAACTTTAGACAAAATAATAATATAAATAAATGATATCAAAATGGGAAACAAATAAACAAAAACATGATCTTTATATCTGTTATATTTTTCTGGTTCTTCGGGGTCATTGATGTCAGCACTATTAAGTGTTAAGAATAATTATTGAATACAGCTCAAGCCGGTGCTAGAGGGAGTGAAGGATGTTGCACTTATTTATAATCCCTCATGTACAGACTCAATCAAACCGAGTCTGCAATTTTCATGTAATTTTGTTGTGATTAATGCTTCCGAGGGTTCATTTTGTTTCCAGATTTTTAAACATACGGCACTGTTTTTAAAACTAAAAAAATTATTATAGCAGAATTTTACTGTTACATTGTATAACTAAAGAGTAAGACTGGTGTTTGTTCTATATAAATTCTTAACAAAATTGTTTAATAAGTGTAAGTCAGGGAAAACTCCATGGTGCCATTACATGTATTGTTTTTATTCATTTATATTTTTATAAAAACGTAATTAATAATAATGCAAATTCTTTAATCTGGTGTTTTTCTTCTTTTTTTTTAATGACCAGTGGGTTAATATATTAACAAAATAGCAAACATTAAGCCAAACTGTTTTCTGTACGAAAGCATCTACTAATAACGTTGCAGTGTTAATGAGTGCATGATTTAAGCATTTTGTGAAACTAAGTATCACACATAATATTCATACTTCACAAAACTTCTGGTGATTTTTTATATCAGTTGTAAAATCGAAATTTGACGCTATATGACATTTTTTAACGAATCTCTTACAAAAAGTACTAAATGAAACTACCAATCTATTCTTAATTCTATTGACAAGCATGCACGGTTGATTTGATTTTAAGATTACACTTTATAGCAAAAGTAAGTTTCATTAAAACTGTTTATATACAAAACAAAAGTAAAAAAGAAAGCGCCAATAACAAAATAACAAGAAGTAAAAGGATACTAGGGCGAGGTTAAAATGCTTTTACTTGAATAATTTTTTTGGAGTTTTGTAATTATAGCATTGAAATTTTAGAACTTGGAAGAAACACTACAATGTACAAGAGACATATAAAAGGTAACGGTCTTGTTTATTATAGTGTCACCCCTACTGAAAGGGCCAGCCATTTCTGACTAATGAGACACCTGTTGCTTGCACACCATGAACATCCCAACTCCTACCACTATGCCAGACGCCAGGCGGATAGAAAACGAGAACCATTCATTTTAACTACCTCGCGGCTCACGAAACAGCCATTTCAGAACGCGTCCCTCCTTCAACTGACGCTCCCCGTGGGGCTCGAACCTTCTACCTCCCGATACGAAGGCGGACGCCCTAAGCGCTAGGCCACCGGTGCAGTATATATTCACCTAAATGGAACTGACGTATTTTGTACCTTACACTTAAAATTTAATATACTGATTAACAGGTTCTTTTTTAATATGTTAAATATATCGAAATTTTGAGCATTACACCATTACAATTGAACACATGAATAGTTATATGATATATAAGGAAGACCGAACATTTTTTGTTTGGTGTCTTTTGGTATGCACATCTCAAACATCCATCCGAGAAATTTAACTCGAAAGTTTGTTCCCGATACCCCCTTTTGATTAATTTAATATGTTGACGTGTTTACGTTTCAGAAAAAAATCCTTTATTGAAGAATATCTAATTGGATCCCTGATTTCAGTTTGTAATATTCAAATGCCCAATGAAAAACTAGTTTTTTCCCTATCAATTTTTAAAAGGGAGGGGGGGGGGGGGGGGAAGGTGAACTCGCTCTTGGACGAACTTCGTCCGAAAAATCTGCTGTACTGACTCCAATGTATGTTCGAAGATGGTTTTATGCACTAATATTACACGTTTTGTATTTTACTAGGGGAACGTGTATTGTTTGACAATGAATGACACGCACGTGTCAAATTAAAGGTACATGTTCCCTGTTTGCCGTATGAATACTATGCGTATGTTTATAAATTCGAAATTTTACAAATGAATTCATTTATGTTGAATTTGCATATTACTAATCTATGGACAGAAGCTTTCACTCATTCCTGCTATCCATTAGCAGACAAAATCAAGTCAAGCATGCAACACTCAGTTTTGCAGTCATGGACATTGTGTAAGATGCCCCTTTTCATATATTTCTGCACGTTTTTCGACTATATGTACATTTGTCCAATGATCACCATTGTCTCATAAGCAGTGCAAGATAATGTTTACAATATGCAACTGTCAATTGTATTCCTGGTCATAAGTTTATGCACTTTCACTTTGGGTCACACAAGGGGGTTCTACCCTGCTACATGAGAAAGTGCCTCGTCTCCGGCTATATTCCAGCTATTGGCGATACAACTTAACTTAACCAGCGTACGGTAGCAAACAAGTGAACATGACGGCATGTTTTCCGCCAACCCGCTGTACTTGAACATGGCGGTTTTCCCTTTAAAAGCAGAGGACATTTAAAAGCACCGTCGACATGTATTTACCCCGTCCCAAGCAAAATTCTTCAACATGCCCTACAATTCAATTTAAATCATGTCTTTTCTTTCGTTTTGCAAAATAAAAGATAACAATGTAACTTCTTCCTAAATAAAAGGGGAGGGCCTATTCAGCTACCAGTGAAAAAACTTACTTGTATATAAGTTGGATAAATAATGGGGACACCGACCGGGCACAAAATATATTGTTTTTATTTTTATACAATTAAGAACATAATTATGATAACTAATAATCTGATAAGAATATTCATTACCACAATTTTGTAAATGGTCTCCAGACCTACATCCAGTCAGGTAACCGCTGGCATCTAGGGCATAAATACAAATCATCGAATCTGGTATGATTTTGTCGTCTCTTTCACAATGAAAAAGCTCACCAAATACTCTTGCATTGTAATCTTAGAGATAAACAACAATTAATTAACTTAAATAATTGAAAACAATTCAAAACGTGCAAATATAAAGTATCTAGCCAGAATTGTACCTCAATAAAAAGAACAACTACAAAAAAAAAAAAACAAAAAAAAACAAACAAACAAAAAACAAGTGGGTCATGATGGCCCTGAAATCGCTCATCTGTATATCAAAACTCTCCATGACAAGGAACAAGTAACATTGTAAACTATAAACAAAAGCAGATATCAAATCTTCATCTTAAACTGATATCACAAAGTTCATATTTGTGTCTGAAATAGTGCATATGTAACAACATTAGTTTTTAATACAAACATCTAAAGAAAATCAATAACCTTCCGGGGCTGGACCAGTTTAGACCCCAGAAAGCTTTTGTCTGAAGAAAAGAAACAACTTGGAAGACACTCACTAAAAATGTTTTGTGCTAAATATCTAAGCTCTTGTTTTTTTTAAATATTTATTTTTAAGTTTTAACTATACACATTAAAGGAAAATCAATGACCCCCGGTGCGGGGCCAATTTCAACCCCAACGCTTTAAATTGAACAAACGTGGTAGACCCCATTAGAAGATGTGTCATTTTAAATATTTAAGCTCTAGCTCATTTGGATTTTTTTTAAATAAGTTTTATTTCTTTCAGTTGCCATGGCAACCAGAGTTTTACATGGAATTAAATTCTTTGAACAATTTTTAAAGGTGAACACCAAAGAAATATTTCTGTGAAGTAAGGATGAAATTGGCTAAACGGTTTATTAGGAGATGTCGTTTTAAGTAAAAGTTTACAGACAGGGCGAACGCCAGACGAAAAGCAATCAGAAAAGCCAATCTTGTCATTTTGTGACAGGTGAGCTAAAAAAACAACAAATCAATGAATCTGACATGTAATTTGCTAATTTGAAACAATACCAGTGTTGTACAGCTTTTGAGATTCAATTTTGATGTTTGAAGATAAGATCAAAAAAAGATATTTCCACAAAATTAAATTTAAAACTGCCGTTATAACATGAATGATTATTTGAAAGTTTTTTCAGATAAAATCTAAAAATAAAGCCTTTTAGTCAACTATATTTTTATGATGTGCGAATATCTCTTGTTCTGGAAAACACAAAAACAACGCTATTTTGGTAAATAATTCAAAGAATTGCAGTGCGGTCCGTTTCATATGTTTAACATCATTTGACAATATTATTTTATAGAGTTAAATACAAGTATAGTTCCAGATAGACAGCACATTTTTACTTCTGTACATTGTTAAAGTAATTCACCTTTTCTAAATAAAAAATGTGTATTTATTTATAAAGTTTTAAATTTATATCTTTAATGCATTTTGAGTTATACTCACGAAAACACAAAGTATGACAAATTTCAAAGGATTTCACTCTAAAATTTTATAAAAGATGCTGATAATTATTAGGCATTGTACCTTTCTAAATAAGATATTTCTATTAAGAGAAAATAACTAAAACTGTATTTGTTTCTGAAAATATTAGTATGTGTTGCGATTATACATGTAAATATAAATAGATGAAATACCGTAGGTGCAATAAGGAAGTCCAAATTTTATGTCTATGAAATCTGGCCAATCTGACCGTCCTTTAGAAAAAATATCAATGATATTCACTTCATGGACAATTCTTCTTACAGTATCATTCATTTCTGTGATTTCACTGTCATCGCATCTGGTTATCGAGACCATATCAAGAAAAGTCTACCATGTCTAAAAATACAATCATTATGTATGAAAATATGAATCTAACAGCATCATGTAACATATTTGAAGCGTCATTTTATATTTTTTTATACTGTGCAAACACGACCTTTCTAAAATTCTATCTCTACATATCGCTCATTAAAAGCAATTGCATACCAAATATTATTGTTTCAGAAATTCTTTTGCCTCTTGTTCAGTTATTTATTCATCTTTCTACACAGAGGAGACAGTTGTGTTTCTGATAAGCGGTTATGATCTCCTCCACACCCCATCCTCGCCCTATCCTCCCCAAAAGAACATGTTCAACAAATGACAATCAAAGTCATCATGCCTCCAGATTTATAGTGATCTTCATGAACATTTATTTAAAAGTAAAATATTGTTAAGTGGACAAAGAAAGTCATTTAAACATAGCAAACCCCACTTACATCTAGAATAATTATACAGATAATAAACATTAGTGCGTTTGTCACGCAGTAGAAAAACGGTGACACATACTGCAAAATCTGCCATTAATCACATGTAACATGTGAACTATTATTTTTACTTTCAGTCAAACAAGAAACAACAAAAAAAACCCAAAAAACACATAAATATTTTATAAATATACCAAAGCTCTATCTCACGAAATCACGTAAATGACTGATTTTCATATTTGAGTAAATGGAATGATTTAAATACATACAGACCAAAGTAAGTCAAGAGGTAGATTGAACGTTCCTATCGTGCAGTGACAGGACGGATATGCGAAGTCATTGTGGTAATTGTCAACAATTGCCGCTTCCCGAAGAGCGAACTTGCAATCTGCCTGTACCTGATATAAGATAATCACTTAAAGCAAATATCTCCTTTCATAATAATTTTTATACAAGTTATTGAAATGAAGCGTTGGATCCGGATTGCGGGGGATAATGAGAAAAATATCATTATTCTCAATATCACGAGGCACATATCGGATACATTTTGCATTGCACATGTGACATCAGGTATTCTGCCTTTTTTCTTGTTAAATGTAAGGAAAATTATTCACACGGCATTAATGTTTATTAGATATAAGGAAAAACAAAGAACTCACTGAAGGTTAACTATATTGTATATGGGTTAAATGTATGTTTTGTACCAATTATTTGTAACAAAATATAAAAGAACGAGTAAATATTGTAAATAGTTATACAAACTTGTACCTTAAAAATGTATTTAAAAGCATCTGCAACAAACGAATGTATTTTTATTCCTTTTAGGACTGCATTAAGCAATGCTGGTTAAGTCTTGCAGATAAAATATAGGTTTGATGTATTAATTTAAAAGAATACTTACAATTTTGCAGTAATAATATTTTTAACTGTTATCGATTCATTATCTTTAATATACGAAAAATCTGAAAATGCATTTTGTTGTAAAATGAACATGGATATTTATGTTAAAAACTCTTACCGTATAAAAACATGTATAGCTTTCGTCAAAAAACGTACGGTGCAAAGAAGGTACATCGATATATTTAAGTAAAAACTCAGGAGCTATATTCGGTATTGAAAATTTTATTCTTCCAGAATCGTTTCCTTTAGGCATAATTTTCCATTCCAAAGTATCTGAGAGAGAAAAAAGTGCTTTAGTCTTAAGTCCCTATTTGTGCAAGAAATATTTTTTGCATTTGTTTTTATGTTAGATAATCTTAACTATGGTCCCTAATGTAATAGAGATAATTTGTTTAGAGGAAGTTAAAATTTTCTAATATGCTTACTTTTTATACGTATTTTAATTAAAATGCCGAGTTTAAAATTACAGCCTTTTGCTGACTTTAAATTTGTTTTCTTTTGATTCCCATCTCTATTTAAAACACATGAAGGCATAATTCTCAATTTAGAAAAAAAAGAAGATATAAAGCATAAAATGTCGGAATATATTGAAAACTACCAACTAGCACATTAACAACGAATCTCATTACAGTCAAACTTTAAGTGACATTATGCTCATTTTTACAGCTGTCAAGTTAAGTTAAATAAGGAATTTATTTTAAATGATTTGAAATTTAAATGGCAAATCATGAAAAATGTGTATGTTACAATTTAAAAAAAATACCTAAAGTATAAACAGACTGCCCCACACTTGAATTGAGTGTTATCTATGCAATTATATAGAAATGCCACTTGGATGGACATAATGTCACTTTAAACATACATGCATATTTTTCGGCACTCACTTTGTTCTAAAGACTAAAATATAATACATGTATTGATAATGCAAGGCATTTATTTAAGAATTTTGCTTACCTGTAATAATGCCATTTGACGAAAGGTATTTACTGCTGAAGTCATCAGAAGTTGGAGAATTACTTTGGCAAAATACTTCGTCACCGCCATCCCTACAGTCCGGATAGCGATCGCACGTCAGTCGATGTAGAATACATTTGTAATCAGCAGCACAAAGAAACGATTCCTCACAGAAGTCTTGGAATGAAAAAAACACGTGATAATCATTTTTGATATATGCATTTGTAAATAGATGTGATCATAGATGTGATAAAACCAATGATAACCTAAGACAACAATATTTAAGTTAAAAATATGTATAATCAAATGATAAGAAAAAGCAAAAATATATAAATGGGGCAAAGCTAAAACACTGACGAAATCAAGTAAGCCGCATCCACGTAAATTCTGGAGAAGGGTTAAAAAACAATATGCAAAAAGTCCCGTACATGCTACTGATTTAAATATTTCTGCTTTATTTACTCATTTTAAAAATTAATATAGTAAGGAAATGAATTACTGATATCAAGTTACGAATCTAGCGTTTATAACAGATGATGATTTAGATGGCGCATTATCAACCTCGGCAATAAAAGAGACGTTAATAATTATAAAAGCGCAGGATCGGACTGTGATAAAGGAGATCTATAAACATTTTTTAGATTTTTTCCAGATTTTTTATTAGCTGTTTATGATAGAATTTTCGAACATGGGGAAAACATGTATCTCAATAATTGGGGAGCAGGTATTACTATATCATTTTTTTAAAGGGGGAACTGTTGAAGATCCTAAGAATTACAGGGGCATAACCCTGCAAACATTTGTTCTCAAATCGCGAAATCGCCTAACCAAGTGGTATGTTAAACATCGTAAAACTATTGACAATCAGTTTGGTTTCCATAAGGGAAAATCCACGACAGATTGCATATTGCTTTTACACTCATTAATCGTGAAGTCACTAGCAGAAGGAAAAAAACAATATTACTGTTGTCTTGATTTCAAAATATGTGTCGACAAATTTGATCGAACCTTTATTTTTCAGAAATTATTGTCATAATATGTAAATTCAAAATTTGTAACGGCTAAAAGGTGCATGATATAACAATACAGTCTCGTCGTTTTTTAATTCAAATATTAGGGCAAAACAAGGGGTCCACAGTTATTATTATTATCTTTATACTTCGCAAATGATATACATGTATTAAAAATATAAATTCCAATATAATCGACCTCTTTAAAAATAACGACGCCAAAATATTTCTGCTGCTTTTTGCAGATGAGGCTGTTTTATTTGCACATACGCCTATGGCACTCCAATCTATGTTAAATGATTACAAGTATATTGTCAAACCTGGGGACTTAAATACTAATTAAACGAAAATAATGATATTCGAAAAAGGAAGACAAACAAGTTACAATTTCATATATAATGCCATAGTTTTAGAAAATGTAAAATCGTTTAACTATCTTCGGATTTATTTATTTAAAATGGTTATTGGAATAGATTACAAAAGAAATTAGCTCAGCATGCTTAGTTTTCATTGCATAATTTTGTAACAATTAAAATTATCCATTGGAGAAAAATTGAAACTTTTTGATAGTATGGTAGGTTCAGTTATAAACTAAGGTGTTGAAGATTTTGGATACCAAGCAGAAACAAATATAAAAATGATTCATTGCAAATTCCTCATAAAAATCTTATGTTAAAATAGAGGTATCTATAAACGCTCATTTGAAACGGAAGAATGTGTTAATAAAGTTAACATTAACAAATTTCGAATATCACTTACAAAACGACAGATTATCATTTAGAAGAGTTTTCTAGGTCATAGCATTTAGAATATGTGTATATATATGGTAAAGAAATTAGTATAGTTAAGAACCGAAAAATAAGGAGGGTTTGTTTTTGGTTATACAAATCAATGCCAAGTCATAATTTTGACACAACCACTGTTGTTAAAGAACATGAATATTTGGGTCTTCATACAGTTTAGCACATTACAGTTTTCTGAACTATTTTGTTTATGATTAAATTCTTCAGCCTTTCTATGGGATAGACAGAGTAGTTTGAATTTTAACTTTACTCAAATATGAATACTTGCCAAGATCTTTGAATTGACAAAGTTATGATTAAGAACAAACTCAGATGACATTTCATTTCATTTCTTTTTCTGTATATGTACATTAAGTGAGTAGTCATTAAAATATGTGATAGAGTTTTTAAGAATGTGAAAATGTATAGTTTTTTAATAGTCTCTAGCAAATCAAACATTTGATTGGTTTCATATATGTATGCCATTTGTTTTATCCTGTATATTATATTGATTGATATGTACATATATGTTATTGAGACTTAAATAAATAAATAAATAAATAAATACAAAACTTAGATTTTTCATCCATAAAAAAAGTAGCACGAGAAAACAGACTCTGTACGAATTGCAATTTTAACGTGGTAGAAAATTGTTCAGTTATGCTAATGTGTCCAAAATATTATAATCTACGTCGCAAATACTTAAAACCTTACTATTGTCGCTGAGGAGGATATGAAGCCTGCAAATCATTGATAAAGATGTAGATAGACCAATTTTAATAGCAAAATACATATCCTATAGGTGATTTTACAGTATTTCAAGTAAGCGAAACATTAACCACCCGCCTGGAAAAAGCCAAATCGAAAAAACTAAAAGTACCACAAACACAACAATAATGTTGCACTAAACGACCTTCAAAGATTGGAGATATAACACTTTTGAATAAACAGGGCGACATTTTACGGACTCCACACAGCTAACAACGCTGATATGGCGATAGCATAGAGAGAATGATTCTATGCTTTAAATCGGAAGGCCAAATAGTTGTAATAAAAACTGTAATTACAGATTTTTTTAAACAACATCTGAGTATAAGAAAGTAGTTTATTTTCTGGAAATGATGAGTTGACCTGGTAAAAAGGTTGTCCAGGAAAAACGAAATTGCAGACAGTGCAGGTTGCCTGACGACTTCATATATATATTAAAACGTATTATCAAGAAACGCTCTGAACAAACTCTAAAAAGAGAATTTTTTTTCAAACACAATTTGACACAGTAAGAATTTTATTTTTTAGAACTGATGAATAGAAAGTAGTGTTGACCTTATATAAAAGGCTGTCAAGGAACAAAAATATTGCAGACGGTGCAGGTGCCTGTCTTCTTAATATATATTAAAATCTATTATTAAGAAATGCTCTAAACAAATTTTAATACTGTCAATAAATTTAAAGATGATAATCAGCTAATTCGTTCTCATGGTAAAATGGTCTTGTTTCAATATAACAAAAAGGTATTGATAATTCAGACTTCACATATAATCAAAGATGTTACATTTTCTATCCTTGGAAGATCGTTCAGCACAACATTATTGTTGTGTGTAAATATTTTTTAATGTTTATAGTTTCTTTTATTTGACCTTTTCAACTTGGGTGGTTCCAGTACTCAGACTTGAATACTATGTAATCACCCTAAGAATATGTCTTTGAATTTGTCGTTTGACGTCTTATATATAATATGCAGGCTTCATAACCTTTGATCTTTTCAAACTTCCAATTTCTTTAGTTCTTCCATTGTTTATTCGTTTAGGGCACATGTTTTTACGCCGCTTTTAATGGAATGGCACAAAGTGTCATATTGAAGGTTTCATGTTAACTTCAATATGACCACATCTGCGATTGTTTCAAAATTCAAAATTGTATAATTTTCGTGTTAAAATGTTGAAGTTTGCTAAATCCAGTGCTGGGGGCGTGGACTTTAACTTGCACTTAACAGTACCATTTATGAAAGGTACAATAACCGAGCCTGCAACATTTTCAATTTTTGTGGATTCTGTTTTTCCCTGTTCCAAATAACTGATGTAATTCATGATATTGAATATGTATTTCAGCATAAAAGCTAGGCAGTTGGACTACTTAAGACTACTAAAAAATTACCAATTTAACCTCGTTTTGTTTTTAGAGTTCAAAAATATCTATATCACAAGCATAAAGTACAACAAATAGTCAGGTTTTCATTGAAAAAGGTAAAAAATATCAATCTCAAATGTAATCCTGTAGCCTCATATTCGAATTAGGTAAAGAGGTCATTATTCATTTTTGAAAACAATACTGAAACTTTTATAATACTGTATGATTACCATTAGTTTGAAATTACTCAAAAATTAAACAAGAAAGAATAGCTTGTACAAATTTTAGTGCTTTTTACTTATTTATCTTTTTATAACTGTTTGGTTAAACAATAAAAAACAAACATAAAAGAAACAGCAAACTAGGAGCAATCACAATAGGAACGCTCTGCACTCAATAAGTTAATAGTACCATATTCCTCCAAAGCCAGTTATTTTGCTTGAAACTCATTTTCGTTGGTGTTGTTGGTGTTGTTGCGACTTACTTCTTTTCAAATGTCGTTTTATAATAAAGCAACATTTTGGAATTTCTATTTCGAAATTGTTTTTGCTGTCATCCGACTATAGTGAATTTCAAGTATTAAAAACAGGTATTGCCTACATGGCTTTTAGATACCAACATCAACGTTACAAACTGAACTTGAGAATACATCAAAATTTAATATAATTTATAATTAAAGTTGCTTTACAATGTAATACATAGTTAAATACAAACCACAATCTGTTTCATCGCTTTTGTCGAAACAGTCGTATTCAGCGTTACATCGATTGACTGCTGGAATACATTGTCTATTTTCACAACGAAACTCAGTTTCATCATCACACGTTGGGTAATCTTTAAGAGTTCGTAAATAATCAATTGAACAGCAAAAATAAAAAAGTTACACAAACTTTGAACCGTGTGTTATATATTGTATATATTTACACAGTTAACTTTGCAAAAAAAATGTTTAGATATATACTATAATTTTAATTATATTTGTGACCAAAAATAAAAGCGATGTAGTCTTCTAGCGCTTTATTTCAGTGTCGACACGATTACATTCAAATATGAATTCATCTAGGGTGTGCTCTCAATAAATGATTGGAAAATTACGAGGGAATCAAAATTATTAAGGGATAAAAACATAATGTGTTATATTGGTAGTAAATCCATAAAAGTAGGGTTCTTTCATAGCTAAGTCTTTCGCTTTTTTACATTATATATTTTGGAAACTATTACAAATGTTTATAAAAGATCAGAATGCGCCGTTAAAAAAGGGTTTGCACTTTCTTTAGGGATTATTATTTTCTCTATTTTATACATATATAAAGAATCGTTTGATTCCTTGCATATGGTGTACAAATATGCGGAGTCCATTAAATCGGCTAATTTAATGTATAAAATTTAATACATACAGTTGAGTAACAGCATTGTATGGTACATATGTCGGCAACATTTAAACAAAATAGAACGATTTCATTGGCAGACACATTTTGCCGGACTAGAAATGTATTAATTTTATAGTAATCTTTGAAATATTAAAGCTTACCACACAATTCATCTTTGCCATCCACACAGTCCGGTTTGAAGTCGCACACTCGACTCAGTTTAATACAGTTTCCGTTGTCACAAGAAAACTCGTCTTCGTTACATTCTACACAAATGTAAATATGGTACAATAATTTTTAATGAAAACAAAATTGTGATACCTTTTTAGGTTTATGTATACATCAATCTATCAATTGTATCATCCACAAGGAGACGAGACCGAAAAATATGTATTTTCGCCGTACACTTGTTTTTCTGTGCTCTTGGATTTTATTATTTTATGTTGGATTTTAAATGCTGAAAAGTGCAATTTTGTGAAACATTGTAAATGAATATTTTGTGGATTTTTATGTGTACTTAACTAGCTACAACAACACTTTTTAAGTTGTTTATGATGGGTGAAAGTTACAGATATTTACCAAATATACTTATTTCGGACATGATTGAAATCAATAACCAGCCAACCATAAATCACAGGTTTTGTCGTGAATAGGATCAACGGTTTCGAGTGATAGGCAACGTAATAAATTAGACCATTGTGTACACGGTGTTATACATAAGCTTCACATTTCTTAACCCAAAACACACAAAAAGAAGCATACGTGGTGGTAAAGCTTAAATCCTGACTACGCCTTCTTGTGCAAACCTACACAATTTGAAAAACCCCTCAAAACAAAACACGCGTGTTCAGATTTGTGAAAAAGTGTCATGTTTTACACTTAACTGTACATTTGTTGTTAACAATGATAATTTTGTTGGCCAGTATTTGAGGGAACACAGAATTGACTTTGCTTGGTTGCTTGAAACATGGTTTTCTGACGAAAAACAACATCAGTATGAAACGTATGATCTCAATCAACATGGTTACAAAATCAGTGTTGCAAACAGCAAGAACAAAATTGATGGCGGAATTGCTTTGACTTTTAAAACCAAACTTAAAATGAGAAAGATGGAACATGGGACCAAACAAATTTTTGAGTTAGGCATATGGAAACTCATTTTCAAAAGTATAACAGTACACGTAGTTGGTTTATACAGACCCCCATTCCTAGCCACATGTGAGCAATTTGTAACTGACCTATCAACCTTCATAGAAGATATCTTACCTACATACTCTAACTTGTTGATTATGGGAGACTTCAACCTTAACCTTGACAATGGTAGTGACTTCAAAACTGCCTTCATGCTATGGGTTAAGAGCAACATTTACACACACACTGTTGGAAGCTGTTTAGACTTGGTAATCACTGAATCGATGAATGGTGTATGTGTACTTAAATGTGAACAAGGGCTTTTTCTCTCCGATCACTGTGCTACCACCGTAGTCATTAATGTGAAGATAGCAAACATTACCAGTAAAACTGTACAATTTAGAAACTAGAAAAGCATATCCCATTCTGAATTCTCCGATGATTTGACGAAGATTTTAGTTGATATTGAAGGTGTCAATACTTTTGTAAACTTGTTTGAATCAGAAATTCAGTCTGTTGTTGACAAACATGCTCCAAAAAAGGAACAAACTAGGATATGTAAAACTCAAAAACCTTGGTTTAATGAGACAATATTGGAATTTAAGCGTATTGTTCGGAAAAAACAAAGACTTTTAAGAAACTACAAAGAACCAGAACAATTCAAGAAAATTTAAAGAAGCACGAAATAGATACTGTAAAGAAATTTATTTTGAGAAAATAAAAACAAGTTACAAGTGATAAAATTCTAAATGCCAAAGGTGATTAAAAAAACTATGGTATAGTTTCGAAATTAACTGGTACTTAAACAGAAAATCTTATGCACAGCCTACAAATGACGGTGAGCTAGCTGGGAAGTTTGCAGACTTTTTCCAGGACAAACTAGCCAAATTCGCAAATCACTTCAGGATTTTCCAAGCTTCATTCGATGATCTTACAGAACTGAATACCAAATCGTGTGAGCCAGACTAATTACCCACATATATATTAAAGTCAAATATTAATAAGCTTCTGCCAACCATTACTAAACTTATCAATCTATCTTATCACTTAGCATCATTCATGTGAGACTGCTTTACTCAGACTTGTCAATGATCTCCTAGATGGTATGGAGAAGCAAGAGGTGACAGCTTTAATTGCAATAGATCTAAGAGCAGCATTCGACATCGTGGACCACAGCATTCTACTCGACGTGTTACACAGTCAGTACGAAGAAAAGGTACCGTGTTAGCATGAGTGGACTCGTACCTGGGACCTCGTAGTTGTCGCGTCAGTGCTGGAATGTAGTCTACCTCAGGGGAGCTGTCTTGGTCCGTGGCTCTATCTCACATATGCGGGAACCTTATTTGATTTTATACCACCAATCATATCTGTATACGGCTTTGCTGATGACCACACTGCTAGTCAACGCTTTCGACCAACTTCAGTGATCAATGAACATAACGCTATAAAGCAACTTGAAGACCGTGCTGTAATCATCAATGACTAGATGAATGCCAATAAATTCAAAATGAACATCACCAAGACAGAATTCATTATGTTTGGTAGTAAAGTCCAAATTGGTTAATGTTCAATTAAAGAATTGATATTGCCAGTGATAAATTCAATATGTCAGTGTCATAAGATACTTTGGTGCCTACTTAGATGGAGGGCCTAAGATTCTCAACACATGTTTTGACCAAGTGTAGATCTGCAATGTTAAATTATTTGAGAATAAAGGGCATTCGCAAATCTCTGACTCAGGACGCTACGAAAATCCTAGTATTATCGCTAGTAATCTCACATTTAGATTATTGCAACGCTATATTGTTTGGCATTTCAGAAAGTGAGTTACAGAAATTACCTTTAACATTTGACAATATTTTAGTACTGTTGGTCCAACTCTCTGGAATAAATTACCTCTGTATATGAGGACAGTGTTCGACTTTGGACGAGTTTAAGAAAAATGTCAAAATTTTAAGAGATTTTTACCCATTGTTTCAAGATTGTAATTGGGCTCTAAACTGATCGAGATGTGGAAATGTGTTAAAAGTTTTATTAAAATAATCATTAATTTTTATTTTCTTTTAAATCATTTTTTATCATAATGTTTTACTACCTTTTTTAGTTTTTAATACTACAAACGTATTTTACACGGCTGATTTCTTTAACTTATTTTTTGTAGTTCATTTGCCATGCATATGTGATTTGCTATCTATATGTACATACTTTTATTACTCTATTTGCAACGCCATTGGATATGTTTAATAAATAAATAGGCGTTTAATTAGATAAAACAGTTTCAGTTGTCAGTTTCAGAGGACAAAAGTCATCACGAAGTAAAGAAAATGTTTACAGTATTGAATCCAAACGGTCAAATCAAATAATCTTATTGATATACAACTTCATTAGCAATCAAACACTCAATCAACCCATTTATCTTACTTTACTTAAGGTATATGTTTAGGGAATATTTTCATTATTTCTAAGTATTAAACTATCACTTAAAATGTATGGCATAATACAACGATAAAACATTCACATAATAAATTATGAGTTTTACAAAAGTCTAATGAACCGAACAAATTACCAATATTGTCATGCAAACACCTGACTTCGTCCGACGCATCAAGACAATCAATGATATCATCACATTTAGCTAACATAGATATCCACTCTCTGCTATGTTTACAGCGGAAATAAGCCCCGGAATTGTGTCGGCGGGGTAAATCAGAGTTTATCATTGTATCCGTAGTTGTATGTTTTGAGAGATTGTGATCTAAATGAAAATATCATTAAAAGTATTTTAAAACACAATTTTGTTCCAAGAAGAGGGCAAATACAAGGTAAGGTTTTATCGCGGTACGTCTCTTAACTAATATACTTAAAAAACTAAACACAAATATTTTGTACATTAGCTGTAAATAATTGATAAAAAAGTATTTTTCGAACAAGCAAGCGTTTGAAAGAAAACTACAAAAAAACTCTTATCAATATCATCGAATTGACAATGTGTCAATAGAGAAAGAAGTTACTGATTCAATATGATTCATTCTTACGCAAATGTTTTGGCTTTGAACCCTGGTGTCGCTTTAAGCTTGTAACACATAAGGTTTGCCAATATCATATTTCCTGTTGTTGGCGCCATATGACTTAAATTGTTTTGGTTCACCGTAAGACAAAACAAAACAAACACAAAATATATTAATAATAGAGAACAATACTTTAGATTGTATAAATATTTGTCATGCTCATGAATCAATAATTTAACCACAAACTCATTTAAACTAATGTTACCTACAAAAGCAGATTGTCGCCAAAAAAAACTTAAAATAAAACAGTAGTAAATAATGCCGAATAATGTACTAACCTTTAATTTTGTTCAAACATGACAATTCATCCGTATAGTCTAAGCAGTCGAAATTTTTATCACACCAGTTCACAAAGGATATTGACGATCCATCAGAGCAGTTAACGTCAAACTCCTTCTTTTCAGACAAACTGATGTTATCTTTGTCTAATTAATGTTAAAATTCAATTAAGCGAGAATTGTTAGTACAGAAAATCTATATTACATACTTTAATGACTCTGAGACGTTCTTTTATGTTTTTTATGTAAATAAAAGGGAGGTCTGATCTTCTTCAACTTATCATATCCATGTATATCATATTGATATAAAGGTATTGACATAACACACTCTTTAATTTGGTCGTCATATAAATGTATTTTTGTTAAAAGAATAAACACGTTACTTACACATTTAGTGTAAACGAAACGATTGATACAAACATGTGAAAACAATAAATGAGCGTGTCATGCCACTTATGAAGCTCCGTATATATTTAAGTTTGAGAACAAAACTGATTTTTATTCCCTCGCACGCACAACTAAGTTATGCAGGCTTGGGTGGGGAAAGGGTATGGTAAACTGGTTTGAAGGTTCGCGCAATTGTATCGTTCTAATGTTGATTAAAAAAATCCGTCATATTATCTTATACATCTGAAAGACCCCGAATGCATGCATGCAGAAAAGTTTAATTCAATTGCTTATATTTATCTTTCATCGGTAAAGTATCAAAATTCTGTCCGAATTGTTAATGGCATTGTTTTATACTGATTAAAACTATTCTTTCGGTATTGCCTTAATGCCCTTCGCAGAATGCATATTCGCAAAATGCTACTCTTCTGAGGGAATATTGTAATATTAAAAAGTGTATAAGGATTTTGATATTAGCTACAATCCTTCAGTTGAACATTACATAAACATAGATCATACCACCTGTTCCTGACATGTATATTGTAAAAAGCAGTTTGCTAGAATTAGCTACATCTTTCTTATTTACAATGTTAGTCGTTATTTTTACTGTAATGAAATGACCATCAATGCCAACTGCCATCTTATTTAAATAATTTTATACGGATTTGAATCATTTGTAAAATAAACAACAGTTAAAGGAAACAACTGTCAAATAGAAATTCAAACAAAGTGTTCATATAAGTGATCTGGAATCTCAAAGTCAAATTAATTGAATTTTCATACAACTTATCAAAACATTGTTATGTTTAAAATGATTTATACTAAGATAAAACAACACTTAAGACAACATTGCCATGTGAAAAAATTGAAGTATGACATTGACTTTCAAATGCACATGACCCTCAACTAATTATTATGTTTCTGTTCCAAAACATATCCAAACAACTTATAACAACCTTAAAGGAAAAATTGACACGACATTTTCTAACATATATTATACGATATTTACATTGACATAAAGATGACATTGATCTTCAAGGTCAAGTCTATAATTTTGTCCAGAAAATTGATTGCCTTTTATTTGTTTATGCCTACTGAGGTCAAACTGATTTGAAATTTAAAAAAAAAGATCATAAAATTGTCATGAACTGATTTCATAGCACTTGGAACAAATCCGTCAGTAAGAGATATTCAGTTGAGATCTTGACATTTAAATTACCATTATCTTCCGAGTCAATAAAAATATTATGATACCGCCGCACAACACAGCTTGTCCGTCAGGCCGTCGGCTGTCCGGCTGTCCGTTGGTTTTTCCTTGTCCGCCCAATAACTTAAGTCAAATTTGGTATAAAGATTGGCTTTGATTAGTAGATGGTCCATATTGATTTTGAGGTCACCAGGACAAAGGTCAAGGTCACCTTGACTGAAAAAGTTATCCGTCCAATAACATAAGAATCCTTTGACCACCAACAGTTTAGCAATGATCATTAAATGACCCCTTTTTGATTTTGAGGTCACTGGGTCAAAAGTCAAATTTACAGGGGCCTTGACTAAAAATGATTAGTCATGATTAGTAGATGACCCTTTTGTTTTTGAGATCACCAGGTCATAGTCACAGGGGTCTCGACTTAAAAAGCTTGTCCGCCAAATAACTTAAGAATCCATTGACCAACAGTCTTCATATTTAGCATGGACGTTATTCATAACAATGAGATGACATCTATTGCTTTTGTTGTCACTGGGTTAAAGGTGAATGTCACAGGGGTATTAATTTTAAAAAACTTGTTCGCTCAATTGCTTTAGAATGCTTTGGTAAACAGTCATTGGTTTATGACTAGTAAATGACCCCTATTGATTTTGAGGTCACTAGGTCAAAGTTTTTGGTAAGAAGGGCATTGACTTAAAGATGTTTGTCCGCCCAATAACTTGAGAAACCTTTGACCCACTTCTTCGTATTTGTCATGGAGGTTAATCATGACCACTAGATGACCCGTCACTTCAAAAAACTTGTCCGCCCAATAACTTAAAAATCCTTTGACCCACAGTCCTTATATTTGGCATGGAGGTTAGTAGTGCCCACAAGGTCAAAAGTCAAGGTCAGAAGAGCTTTGACGAAAAATAACTTAAGAAAATCCTTTGACCAACAGACTTCATATTTGGCATGGAGGTTGATAATGATCATAAAGTTATTCTTATTGATTCTGAAGTCACTGTATCAAAGGTCAAGGTCACAGGGCCTTTAGTTAAAAATTTTGTCCACTCAATTACTTAAGAATGCTTTGTTAACAGTCTTCATATTGATAATGAGGTTGAATATGACTAGTAAATAACTCCTATGGATTTTTAGTTGACTGTGTCAAAGGTCAAGGTCACAGGGGCTTTACTACATTAAGCTTGTCTGCTTAAATTCTTAAGAAAGCCTGGCCACAGTGTATTGATTTTGACATTTTGACATTTGAAGCTTATAATCATGTGCTCATATATACATCATAAAATACACCTAGGAAAAGCTGCATGAATTGGGGATAATCAAGCAATGATACTTTTAGTTTTGTGGTCAGTTCGTCAAAGGAAAAGGTCATTTTGATCTTTGCCAATAAAACCATGTAGAATATATAACTTAGCAATGCACATGCTTACTACCCTCATATTTGGCTGGGTGGTTGTCCCTAAGCTCTTTATGACCACTGTTAATTATAAAAAAAGTATGCGATGGTATTCACGCCATGACAGTGGCAGTTCAAGTTATTCTAACAAATTTGATTTAAATCGATGATTTCTAAGATCCAGTGTAAGTTCAATATTTGTTAAAGGGATTCCACTGAGTTTTTTTTCAACATGAGATAGGAAATAACATTTCGATATTAATGTTCTTTTTGATGTAGGTATAGACCAATAACTTGAGAGCAAAATTTCAGAGCCGTTTCTCCAGAATTATTATTATAAGTGTAAAAATGACAAAAAGCGTTGCAAAATTTCAATTTCAATTTATGTATGATTATATTTTTCAATAACCTCAATAACTCTTTTTGTATAAAGAGTCTCAGCCAATCCATTCAAAAAATCAAATTATGTGTTTTGGCTTTAATTTAAGAACTTAGAAAAGATGGATTTTGTTATGTTTCTTTTACAATTGAACTTTGCTATAATGCAGTTGTGTCTAGTAAACTCGGATGGTCATCTATGAAACAGAATGTAAAAATGTGTCTTATATTACGATACAAAAAGGCCATAGTATAATAATTGATTCAGAATTAGTATTCTTAATTGATTTATTTACTGTCATACATAGCTGTATAAAACTTTGAAAAATAGTCATTATTCTTCTTAAATACTACATTTCAATTAAGTGTAACCTATTTTTGAAAATATAAAAATATTTTTTATAATCGTTATTATCTTCATGGTCTAAATCCTACTGTTTTCACGATTTGGGGAGGTTATCAAAATAAATATCAAGTATCAAAATATGCGTTATTATGTTTTTGCTGCCATACAATATTTTTATCTTATTTTTATCGATGAATCTACCTTCTCTTTAGTTATATTTATGACTGTTTCATACACGCTTATTTATAAAAAAATATTTAATCACGTGATATATTCATGAACCAATCATGTACGGCTTACAGATCACATGCCTCTCCAAGTACAAAGACTAGATAATATCACCATGGTCTTAGTGAGAACGAACGGTGACTTCTATTTAGGTAGTCACGAGGATACGTTGCAGTCATACTGCTTCCTACTTTTTACACAATACAATGGGGTATCCTTAGTCAAAGATAACCACATCCCGGATTAATCACTGTACGGCATGTGCTATACAATTTATTTAACATGCAAAGGTCTATCAGCTATGACAAATATGTATATTGTATAGGTTGCAAAAAGAAACACGTGTCAGTCAAAACAAACAATGTTTTCAGATAAAATAGTTTCATGTAAAGAAGCCTGTATGAACTTGCTCGACAGTCAGATATGTTTGAAAATATCACATCTATGACATAATTATTATAATAAAAAATTAATTCCTTAGAATAAAAAAAGTGATTATAAATCTGAAAATCATCATAACGATTTATTTGCTCCTGTCACAAAAACAAGTGTAAAAATAGCAATGAACTATTATACCTTTTGAGATATTTCCGTCCTCTAAAAACGGTTTCTCACAGATGTAAAATCCGACCTTATTATGCAAACAATCTTCTGTCCCCCAAAGTGCTTCGGTATTGAAATACTTGAATAACGTACGGGTACAATCTGTTATTGCAGGTTGTCCGCTTTCCCTGCAATGATTAAAAACCAGCAGCTTGATCCCTTCAGAAATGTTATAGACATAGTACACAGTTTTACAATTTTATCTTTTTATTTTTTCTTCTTGATTTTAACTTCGTTAATTCAATTATTCATTCATTCATTCACGTTTTCAAATTCACGATTTCAACTTATTGACTTTAGGATTTCACCTTTTTGACATTTTTTCAAAACCTCTTGAAATCACGAATTTAACTTTCATGAATTCGCGTCTTCGAATATGCGAATTAACGATTTCAACATTTTATCATGACATTTAATCAATTTTTTGACCAGTTTCAACCGTGTGACTTCAAGGATTTTATTTAATGACTTAACATTTAAAAATCATTAATGATCGCGTACTTTAATGTATAAAACATATAATTCTAGAAGATACAAAAGTTACATAAGCTTTTATCAGTAAAATCGGCGGAATTACATATAAGGCTATCCAATGCGAGAGTCTCGTCCGCTTTCATTTAAAAGGGAAGAGGATTATAAGGTGTTGGATTAGAAGGAATTTGATTTGGATTTGAAAATTTTACGCCTATTGAAAAGAAATTAAAGTGTTAGAGGATTGCAACAGACAACAAATAATTGTTGAGAGGTGTGTAAAGAAGCGACAAGAAATTTGAAGAACGTTGACTTTCTTGAAAGCTGTCTTACGAAATTGAGTTTATTACCCTATCCTCCTGGCGGATGGCTGTCATTGTCATTACACATAGTATTACAGTTACATGTAGGGTACTTAAATATGACCAAATGCCATCAAAAGCAGTTTTGCATGTTGATGGATGTGTGATCATGAGACTGTTATGAATGTAACTAAAATTTCAGCAAGCCCTGGTTTGATAAACCTCTGAAAAACCTTACAAATACTACAATTAAATGCAATGTATTTCCTCCAAAACTTAAACTAGCACAAGTGAAACCATTATGCAACACAAATGATGTTATGACAGTAGACCAGAAGTTTTTTTGCCTATTCCGTCAATAATTTTGGAAAAAGTAGCAATTGGTCAGTCATCTGTTTATATTTAAAATATTTGATATTTACGTTGTGCTTTAAGTAAAATGTCATGGTAGCCAAACCAACAATAAAGACTTCTTGAGGATTGAAGACCTTGAAAACAATTAATATGCGCCTGCTATCTTAGTGGATCTATGAAAGTCTATTGATTGCGTGCCACGGGACATTTTTGGACAAGTTAAAACATTATGGATTATCAGGACCTGCAGCCAGCCTCATATGAAAATATATGAAAAAAACAAAATCAACAAGGAAGGGAGACATTCAATGAACGCATCTCCCAACACAGGACCAACCGCATTGAGCCCATCAGAACACCCAAACAGTATGTGGCACAAGGGCTAAACCAGACTGGATAAACCGGTAGGGGACTTAAATGCAAAAAAATGGCTACAATATTAAAGAGCTTCTTGTGATTTGAACCGATGGTCTTAACTGAAATCTAAACAGAAAATTCTCTGGAGACAAACTTTAACAAATATGAAAGAAAAAATAAAGAGTATATTTACATTATAAAATATTGAAACAAAAATTAATTTTACCTTCTTTGTGGGTAAATTGTATTTACTTTACACGTTTGTAAATTAAAGGCACTATGGACTACCTGCACTTAGTCGATATGAATAAAATATAATTGGTTTCAAAATTGTTGTTAAGTAGTATCACAAAAGTTTATTACCATGCAGTGAATGTAACGCTGTTGCCGTTGACCCAATTAAAACTTGTCTTCTTGTTTTTGTCCGTAAGTCTTCTTAAGCCTTTTTATATCAAAACAAAAATACGGAATCCAGAAATACATCAGTTAATTTACAAAACATTTTACATTTTTGTGGATGAATAGGTTTACTCATACAGGAATAGTGTCTAAAAATGTGTTATATATTTATCCCTAGAATAATTAATATACACTCGAAAAACATTTTTGTTGTTGACATATTTTACCCATAAATAGATATTGTGTCTATACCCGTAAACTTAATACTATACTGAGGATTGATCAAACGTTTTAATCAGTACTAAGTCTTGCATTTTAGATAATGAATCACTTTACCCTTTAGGCGTTGTATGATAAAGGTCAATGACTCAATAGATAATTACATGCGTACTTATAGCATTGACTAAACTAACAATGTTCTTTTTCGTTCACCAAAAAAAAATATAAAAAAAAATAAATAAATAAAAAAGATATGCTAAACATAATTATATAACATTAAAATAGAATTTTGAATAGCTATCTTAAATCCAGCTAGAAACATTGATAAGATGAAACTTAAACCATGTTTATGAAAAAAAAAATGATAAACAATCACACTTTGAAAAGTTACCAATATGTGCTCCATGAAGTACGTTTTGAGTGTTTCTGTACCAAGCAGGGAACACATCATAAAACTCAATACGTAGAAGGTATTGTATGTAATTCATTTCCATTCGTGATGCTATTGTAACAAGATATTCACTGCGCTTACGGCATTTGCGGTTTGCAATATCCCATGATACCCTATCATAGAATACTGTATAGCATTTTCCGAAAAGCCCTGAACAAGACATACGCCCTGCAAAAAAGAAACGTACTCCATTTAGATTTACTTATTGTTCCATAAGGGGATTAAATATTATAAACAAAATACCGTTTGCTATGCACTCCTTCAAAACACTTGGCAAAGTCAACTACTAAGTATAGAGAAAAAGGACGAAAGGAAGATTTTTAACTTTAAATGTTAATATTCTATAATTTCCATGCCCTAAGGATATAATGGAATTCCTTTATATAATTATAAACTTCACTGAAGTATCTGCTGAGCTGACCTTAAAATGATAACTAAAAACTTATTTCGTTTAGATGAAACAATGTTTGTTTTGATTTAGCTCTGTTTATGACTATATTATTTTACCTGATTGTTCAAGTATATGTCCTTTGAACTCGGTAGTATATTGTTGAAGTGAATGATCTGCTATTTTATAATGCAGCCGAAATCCTTCAATACGTCCATCTATTTCGCCATGCGTATAATCATATCCCAACAAATAAAAATGTTGATAAATCAAACTAATCTGTGAATCTTTTGATGTATATGTCTCCGGTGGAAATATTCCAGAGCAAAACTCGGTTTCGCCGAAAGCATCAATGATAGAAAATCTTGATCTAATTTCTATATTAATGTAACAAAATATCATTTATAAAACAAGACGTTATCACAAGATAAATTTTGTGAAGTACACACAATGCAGTGTAGGCATTTGAATGAAAATTGACTACAAAGCACAACAAAAAAAACTTATCATTAACATAATTACATAATTAAGTAGACATTTGTTTTATTCGCCACTAAAACTTTGCTGGTAAAACAAAGAAAAAAGACACCAGATAGAAAAAGACCCCCACTCCATATAATAACAAGAAAAGCATTGATGCAAAGCATCAAAGGGCGTCCAAGCAAGAAATGCAGAAAGTGAAGATGAACTAGTAGACATATGATGACAAGATATTCTTATAAACTTTTCAATGGTTAATTGGTTTTTACCAGAATGAACGGACGAAAGACATTGTTCATTATGAACTTTGATTGGCATGCTAGAGATTAGAATATTACTTGTTATTTCTTTATAATCGTTATTATTAATAGCAACGGATATATGTATACAATCATTTATAATCCATATGTGTAATGCATGATCAACACCACACTTGTGGAATTGTCTCTTATTATGTTATCGCTATTAGCGAAGACCCCCTCTTAAGGTATCTGTTCACACTTACTAACAATATGACACTGGTTATATGACCATATTGATCATGTTGAGCATAATTGTTTATTATACAATAATTGTCATATTGACCGACGATTATAAGTCAAAACTTAACTGGAAATCAGTAAATTATGCTTAATCTTTCAATATATGATATTGCTTATTCTTAAACCATGTACATTTGTATTTTTCTTTATCATTTTTTTTTAAATTATCAATCAATTGAATAATTCATAAAATCTAATTTGTATCTTTGAATAATTCCTGGGCATCTTTACTAAACACGAATAACAAATATTGTAACCAAACTAAGTGACAAACATTCATTTTGGAAAAAAAGCTTATTTATCTGTAAAATATCTGTTCTGTAACGATATCAAACATCTACTCCAAAACCGGGAGAGACCCGGTCAAAATAGACCGGGAGAGACCGGGAATTAACGATAGCAGTACATCCCTCTATAAATAGATTTTCGAAATGTTTAGGTCATCAACTCATCATTCTATTTTAACATACCATAAAAACCCACTGTGTACTACAAATTGATAAATAAAAAAAAAACCGAAGAGACGGAAAAGGTTATTTCATGCATTGCGAAATTCTCCAGTTCGCTAATCATTGTACATATCGAGACATTTTTTTTAATCAAGCACCCTCATACCGATCGGAATGATCGGCTTTTATTATGACCGACTATAAGGCTCGAGAAGTTGCTGTCGCCCTTTCACAAAATCTGATTTCATTCCATAAGGGCATCGCGCTTCGGCGCGGACGCCAATGAACTGGTTAAGTGGTATTCAATCCTCAACAAGTAGGAGTAATGGAATCAATGATCTCGAATGAAACTGTAATAACACTGAGATGAAGTACAGGACATTTTACAACTGTCAGGTTTCATTACTGACATAAACAGACAGTGTCATTTTTTTACAAACGGTATTCACTACTCAGGTGATCTTGATGGATAGTCCGCATAGGTTTCTAATCAACGTGACTCTTTATATAAATTAGTTTTGTGTATTGAAAACAATATTCAGTGGTATCTTTTACAGTTAGAAAAAATCAAGGATGCTTATAATGATTGTATGCACATGTCATGGCTGTGTTTATGCTTAAGTATTTTGTGAATGTTTACTTTTTATTTTTATAATTATTATTATGTTACTTAAAAATTGATGCAGGTACACTTATGCATTTTTTATCTGGAGTGTTATATTTCTATTTAACATTTTTTGTTCGAGACTTTGTGTAACAGCCTTCTTATATTATAAAATGTTCTCTATACATTGGTAACTGTATGCTTAAATAAGTTATTTACTTTATAGTTCTATTGGGATGTTTAAGTATTGTTAGCGTGTGCTATTAATTCAGAGTGCTTTGATTCTGAAATTCAAAAGGAGATCGTCAGAATACCAAGAGTGCACAAATGTACTTTGTGTCAAATAATTATGCTTGGAGAGTCAATTTTATTTTTTAAAAATGACGATGTGATATTTGAATTAAAGAATACTGACTCCCCGCTGAAAGTAACCCCGTTTTCGTAAAATACTGTAGGGGAAAAGTAATGAGCAAAATGTTGTCATAATCACAAGTAAAGGAAATGAACTTAAAAACTACTGCAAATGTTTATTTAGCACAGGAATGTGCTAAACGTAATAGTTTAGTGTATCTGTCGATTATCCAAAGAAAAAGTCGGGAGTACAAGATATGATACTGACCCTTCTATCATCTTATTGATAAAAAGTGACACCTTGATTGACGGATTGGTGTCTTTACCATTTGTCCGCCGCGTCACTTGATGTTTAATGTTACATAACTTGCACTTGTTTTTGTTGCTATACTTGGATTGAAAGGAAAGTAGAACAAATTAACGACAAATAGTAAACTTGTAGTAAATTAAAAAACAAAACAAAAGAAAAACAAATGAGATGAAAGTCCCTCTTCCAAAATTATCCCACTTACAGCCGTTGCATTTGGAAGAAATATTATTCAGACTTGAGATTGAGTCATGCTTTAACTTGAAAAACAAATGCTTATGTTTCTATTTTCTTCCTGTCCATTAAACAAGTTTTCATTAACTTCTATAATATTGTGAAAGGGATTTCCTTTCGATAATTACAACATATGAAAGGGGGTCTCTTGGCGAGTGTTATCCTTTCATTACAGGAAGACTCAACATGATGACCAGGCTCATAATATTATGAACAGGGACTTAATATTCTTTAAAAAGTATCACCGGGGTCATACTTCTATGGGAGTCTCTTTTCTACGTTATAACGCAGGGCCTTTTAAATTGCATTTAAGGGATATCTATCTTTCTAACAATTTTATATGATGATATAGAAATTGAATCGAACAGATGGCATTAATCGATGCAAGCACATAAATATTATTCATCACATAGAGGCATTTGTGGAGGTTGGTCATGATTAGTAGGTGACAACTATAAAAGAGTTGTGGTCAGACGACCAAGGTCACTGTAGACTACACACGTTAAGGGTTTCCCAACCAGTAACATGGGAGCACTTTAGCGTACTGTCTTTAGAGTTATTGTGGGGGTTGTTCATGACTAGTTGTTGACCGTACGAAGGTCAATGGACAACTATATTTATTTGGAGGTGAGATTGAAGCATGAAACACTTTTATTTTAAAACAGCCAATATTTTATACGTAATTCGCTCGCTTCGCAGCTCACTGAATATAACCGCGCTACTTAAAACCGCTGCTTAAACGAGCGTAGATTTATGATATTGACATGTCCAGTAAACTTTACACGACAAATGAAAGTTTACAAATTTCATTCGGCCCGAAAATCTGTATACATATTTTCATTGGTTGAAGCAGATCACGTCACTGCAAAATTTATTAATAAACGGGTTTGTTAACAAAATCAATGTGGCCATACCACTTGACTTTTTGGGTACGGTAGACGCAGATATTTTACCCAATTCAGGTATGTTTTTATACATAACTTAGTATATCTCAGCCAATTTTGACCAGATAAGGCGCAGAGTATCCGTCATTATATAAATTATTCACAATAAATCAAAACGTTGAAAAACTTAAAATATATTTTTAGAAATTCAAGTACGATTATTTTATGCATAACCGGGGCCGACGGGAACAATTCACAACTGATTGAATGATTTTCTTTAGACCGGGCGGTCAAAGATAGCCTACGAAAGTAAAAGCACTTATTTCCAGTAGGGTCCTCATCTCAGCAGACACTAGATACAGCTATGAGATACAATGGAATCCGGGAACCAGTCCGTAGCTTTTAATGAATAGTAGATCCACTTGTTCTTTTAAATGCCCAGTCTATAGCACTGATACATGTGAGGATTATTTGGGTTTCGTACCAGTATATCTCTAAGTAGGTGGGAAACACTGATAGTGTTTCTGAAAAATCCCAAGGGTGTTACCTAGGATCGAAACTGGAACCTCAGCCAGTCAGTGATCTAACCGACTGAGCTATCGCGCCACCTAGCATTTTCTAGCAAATCGTCTGTTTTTACCCATCGTTTCGTTGAAAAATAATTGCTTAATCTTATATGTTTGTTTTGTCCAATGTTTCTAGTGAATGCAGTGATGTTTTAGCATATTTCCATAAAGTTATGTTGAAATGGTAAGGAAAACACTGTTATTTTAATGGATACGGTACACATACATTTTCTATTTTTTTTTTAAAATAAATCTGAAAAAAATATATAAAAAATTGCTTTTACTTTTAATGTGAAAGTTTTTATTTTCTTCAAGATTGTATATTTTAAGAGTTTTCTATGCCTGTTT